GTAAAAGAGGTGAATTTGGAGTTTTAGGAAGGAAAAAAAATAAAAAATGGTGTATGCTGGTACAGGTCCTGTTGGTGGTTCGATTTGGCATCAGCAATAAAAATGGTTCCTGTTAATAGTTTTTTAATAAAGTTTCCATCCGCACAATGTGGTTTTTGGTTGCCTGTTGCCGGCGTTTTCTGGACTGTGAGCGAGAGACAGTTGGAAGTGATAAAGGTTATTTTTGTAAAATCAACTCACAATCCCAGTAATATTTGACAATTAACCAAAAATCAGTAATTCGGGGCCAATATTTTCGGTAATATTTTGATCTACCAAACAACTTTTGGTCACATTCCTTGAAAACTCACTTTCCTATCATATTCCTGAGAATTATGATTTCCAGACATAAAAAAATTTCTCCTTTACCAAACATCCCCTAAATGTAAACGGGACAAGATATACTTACTATCAAAAAAGTTTACCACTTTTACGACCAACCTAATCACCGTTGATTTCCGTTAATCTAACGGTTATAATTTATTGAATTTATTGGGAATTAATAATTAATTAATAAATGCGATTCCATAATTTTTAATAAATTATAACCGTTAGATTGACGGAAATCAACGGTGATTAGTTAAGTTGTAAATGTGATAATTTTTTTTTGATAGTAAGTGTATCTTTCCCCATAGCATCATGCTTTATAAATTTTTACAAAATAACGCTGCTAAGAGGATATGGGATATATAGGATAAATCTTGCAAACATGACACGTCAAAATAAACAAAAAGGACATTCTACCATAGCAATAAATAAATAAAGAAGAGGCTAAAGAGCAATGGGCAGTTACTTATCGCTAGAGTCAGGAATTATAATTGACATATTAGTTTTTTTTTTTTTTTTTGTATAAAGACATATTAGTTATTTAACACAAGAAGATTTGCTAACATATGCAAAATAAAATACTAATAATCAAGCAGAGAGTGTGTATTGGAAAAGTATTGTAATTTGTCTTTACGAATTGAAACAGTCAAATATTATGTATCAAAAACAAAAAAAGTGAAATATTTTGTGTTGGGATTCGGCTGCCATTTGAATGAAGAAAAGAAGAAGAATGTACTAAAAAACAAGAAAGAAGAAGAGATTTTAGCATCGTTAGCAATTAGTACTGTGGACAGTCGTGGTTTAGTAGACTTGAATATTATTCTCCCAAAATTTTTTTTTTTTGAAGGCAAAAGTATTTATTCTTTTATCGCATAAATATTTTGTCCGCCACAAAACATATATTTAGTTGGATCTGGAATCTTACAAAAAAAAATTCAATGTGCAAATAGGAATTCACAATTAGACTAAATTAAGAGTTTAGTCAGTACGATAATTAGACTAAATTATTTTATTATCTAAATTAATTGAAATAAATATAATAACATGGTATTCACATATTTAATTTTTTTAATTTATTAGTTTTTTTTCAAATTAAATAATTGCACAAACTAATTACTGGCATACACTGGCAAGCCACAACACAATTTTTCCTTTTAAATTTTTGGACAAACTACATAATATCACCTTATACTCATATGCTTTTTCAAAAAGTCACCATGTACTTTTAATTAAAATAATTACCCACCTTATACTATAATATTTAAACATTGAATCAAATAGATCAGAATCAAATAGATCAGTTATGGGTTAAAGACATAATTCTAAATAAAAATAGGTTCTAAGTATAATCTTACTCTTAAATTTTAAGTCAAATTGAAAATTTCCTACACTTTCGAAGATGCTCCATCGTTCCCTTTTTGTCTTTCTGATGGTGATCACCATTTTTTTTCATTTAACAAGGGATGGATGGGCATTTAAAAATGATGGTTGGTGAGGGAGGCTTAGAGTCAGAGTTATAGGTGAGATGATTGAGCATATGATTAATTTTATCTTAAAATTAATAAATATGTTTAATTGATTAAATATTATAGTAAGGTGTATTGGGCATGAGTCGCATGACTCATATTTCTCATTCACATAGAAATTCTTGTTGGCGGGGTCAGCAGGAAGTCAATTGGGGTTCACTCTGACTCTGAGTCATTGTATTTATCCTTTTTTCAGTAGTTTGAGCTTGGACTTATAAATAACTGCTGTTAGGATTTTTTAAATTCTATTTATATTCTCTTGTAAACTTAGTGACTAGTAACAAGTAGAGCCGGCAAAACGGACTCGGCTCGGCGGGCCAACCCGCCAAATGAGGTGCGGCGGACTGAGTTTTTCAACCCATCCCAAAAGCGGGGCGGACTCATTTTTTGGCGGGCATAAACGGGTCAGTGTAAAATAGGCTCGGACTGACGGGCCAACCCGCCAAACGGGGCGAGGCGGATAGAGTTTTTCAACCCACTTTCAAAAGCGGAGCGTGACAGACTGACTCATTTTTTGACAGGTCGATGGCGGGGTGGGGCGGGCCGCCCACTTTGTCGCCTCTAGTAACAAGTGTCAATGAGATGAATAGATTACAAAGAAATTGAACATAATTTGTGTTGAATGAATCACAGTAAACTATTGTATCGATTTTCTCTTCCCTTTTTCTTTTCTGGTTTTTTTGATTTATGTGTTGTGTTGTATGAAACAATTGATTATGGGTAATTGTTTTAACTGAAAGTTCATGGTGGATTTTTGAAAAACACCTAAATACAAGCTGGTGGTATTATGTAATCTGTCTTAAATTTTTAGGTTGCGCAGAAATTATGTGCATTCCTTATATCCATATACACATAATTAGTGATATTATCTATTTTTTTACAGAAATATTAATGCAATTTTTTGGGAACCAAAACTTATTTACTCCATTTTGTATTTTTTTAAATCTTAATGTAACTTATGCTTTGGTTAAAAAATAAAAATGACGTTACAATTTTATTATCCTTCAGTTAATATTGATATACGAAATTGTTATTATTAATCATATTAATCTTTAAGAAAATTTACCGGAATATATATATAAATATAGGTGGTATAAATTAAGGGAAAAAAGTATCTAATGTTACTTTAGATAACTTTGTCTAATGTTCATTAAAACGACGTCGTTTTAGAGTTTAAAAATAAAAAAATTAGAATGATAAAGACTATTATAACCCTGAAATAAATTAAAATTACAAAAATACCATGATTTCTGCCCCAAAATGACGTCGTTTCGGTGAACATTAGATAAAATTATCTGAAGTAACTTTAGAAAAAACAAACCCATAAATTAATGGGGTGTATTTGATGGAGATTTCAAATGATTTTAATGGATTGTTTTTGGACAAAAAAATCCGTTGGTATTCGATTAAGATTTTAATGGATTGAAAAAAAGTCACGTGATATTCAATTAGAATTTTAAAGGATTATTTTAGAATCTGTCCAAATCCGTAGGTATTCAATCAGGATTTTAAAAATGGAATCACAAATTTCGTGGTATTCAAAAATTTGACGATTTTAATGAATTTTCTATTGGTATGGATTTCGTGCGACTTTTTAATGAAAAATATAAATACGATGTCTTTCTCACAATCTCACCCTAACCCTAGGATTTCTTGAGATTCTCCTATTACAGTATTTTCTTCTTCCTTTGACAGGTTGACGGCTCGAAATTGGGTTCTGTCATTCGTCAAAACTAAAAAAAACAAACATATTTTTGAGCGATTTTTATCACAAAACAACTCAGAAATAACAAACCAACGAGATTTTAATATAATCTATCTCAAAAATAACATATTTTTGAGCCATTTTTTGAGAAATTTTAGAAGTTTAAAAAAATTATTTTTCAAACTATAGGTTGTGGTTTTTCTTGGCACAAAAACGTGAGGTTTTTTATAAAACAGTGAAAAAATAATAGGGAAACTAAAACCCTAAAACCAATTTTCATTTTACATCAATGAAACAATATCAAATTAAAGTAAGATTGAAACTTTCATAATATGAACCCTATATTTCGTAACAATACATTCATAAACGAAATTCCTTTACTATAGGAAACAATTTTAAACAATTTTTGTGTCAATAGATAACTAAAAACTTGTTTCTCAAAAGCCCCAAAGCAATTTATGGTTTCAATGTATCGTTTGAAAAAAATTTGAGAAATTTTCTAAGCTTTCATGTAATTAAACCCATAATTTTAGATTCGAAATTTTTTTAGAATATTCAATGAAAATATGCATATGATATATAGTTAGAAAACTCTCATCACGTAAAATAAAACCCCAAGATTTTCAAGATCAATTGCAAAAAATTTCAAACGAAATTTTATCATGAACTTTGATACTAAATGAAGAAGATAATTTTCAACCCATTTCATATGTGAATAGCTGTTGTTTAGTAGTTTTGAATGTTTGTTAGAAATTATATTATGTTTTACTGATTGAGAAAATTATATTAGGTTTTACTTTTTCTTTATTAATTTCATTGCATTTCTTTGTTATTTTTTTACGGGGAAGATTATATTCACAACCTATTTTTGTTTATAACATTTTACAACCATATCTTAATCATTGATTTCCGTCAATCAACGGTTATTATTTTCGCAAATCAAATTCATAATTAATATTTAATTTGCAATGAATGATAACCGTTGATTGACGGAAATTAACAATTAAGATATGATTATAAAATATTGTAAACAAAAATAGGTTGTAAGTATAATCTTTTTCTTTTTTATTAACTCTTATAATTTTGAATGTTTATTAAAAATTCATATGATTTTTTAACATCTTATAAATTCATATTGTCCTTTGAAATATTATAAGTTCTTTTAAAATACAATTTTACGAAATCTCGTTAATTCTTGATTGTAAATTTTTTTTTTAAAAAAAAGTCTTTACATTTTCTCCTAATTTTAATAGTCTTTTAAAATATATAAGATTTTTTAATTCTAAAAATCTTTTAAAATCTTAATCCAATAAATCAGTGAATTGAACGATCTAAATCCGATTTTGTAGGAATTAATTATATGAAAATAAAGAGAAGAACAGATATAAAGAGAAAGAGAACAGTTTCCCCCCTTCTCTCTCTGTTTCTCTTTATCTGTGTTGAAGCTGATACTGTTGAACTGCTTCTTCTTAGGCAGCATCAATGGTGGGAGAATCATCTCGCGGTACCGCTAAACGCCCCTTTGTGGAAGACGATGACGAATCCAACAAAAAGCCACCGTAATTTCTCTTCCCTATCATGCTGACTCCCAAACCCTAATCTGATTTATTACTATTGAGAAAATTGCATTAATCGGTATAATTGATTTTCAGACCCTAAGCTTTTAGATATTGATTGCTTTGTTCTTTTGATTCGGGGAATATTAGCCACTTGGTTGCCTCCGACTTCCATCAAGTTCAAGTATTTGGCCCCAAAACTTTGTATTGTTTGAAGAGAGTTTACTTTAATCACATAATGCTTGTTTTGTATGTGATAAATTTTATATTTTGTATTACAGTTGCAGGACCTATGCTGCTTTTTCACCATTCCCACTAGTTGTGATGTATTGTGTGTGTCCCCCCTTGTGCGGGTTTTTGCTTTTGAGATTGTTATAATGAGTTTGTGGAGCTGAGTTTTATGATACTTGCTTTAAACTTATGAATTTATGCAGAGCAAAAAGGGTTAGGTTTCCAAAGGGTAAGAAAGTGAAGCCAGAAGATGAAGTAGTGGCGAAAGCAAATGTTGTTGGGGAGGAGAATGCAATCGACTTGACGAATCCCCATGTTGCTGCCAAAGAGCGGGAAAAATACAGGAATCAATTTACTGCTGAACTCTTTAGTGAGGGCACTGGAGGTGTCTCAAATGAGTTATCGGCTGCTGAAGCGACATACGAGGTTTCTTTTCCCTTTTTTAGTTTCTTCTTGACTTTTTTTTTTGGTGGACAGTTTCTTCTTGATTTATTATGTTGACTGGTTACACTGTTTTTCAGCAAAAATGGGCATTAAAGAAGTTAAACTAACATGATCTAGAGTGACTACTACTTTTATCCAATAAAATAAAAGATAAAAATTAGAGTGACTAATAAATTAACCAATGCTTGGCCTGTTTTTGGTCTATGGAATTAAAAATGATCAAAGTTGGATGTTTGTTGATTGATTACAGCTTATGATGTATGAATGTTGATGAAATTTTTTTTTTGCATTTCTGCTCTCTGCTGATACTTTAAAATTTGAATTTAACCTATTGTATACAGCATGTTGATAAATTCCAATTTTCAACACTTTAGTTTTATTAGTTTGCAATATTCAGGATAAATTTTTTTCTGAAATAATCTTTATTCGTTCTATGGAGTTTTTTTTTTTTTTTTTTCTTTTCATGGACTCGAGTTGAGCATAAATTATATGCCTGTGAAGTTTGTTGAATGTAGGCTGTTGTTCGTATGTATTTTTATAGAGTGATTTTTTCCTGAATTGGCAGCAATTTTTATAGTTGATATGTTTTGGCAGGACAATGAGAATTTTGTTGATGATGGGATTCAAATTGAGCCTTTCAACCTAAATAAAGAAAGAGAAGAAGGTTATTTTGATGAAGCAGGAAATTTCGTTGAATATGTAAGAGATAATGAGATCAAGGTGAGACATTTATGCTGTTTTTCATTTGTGATTTGTGACTATTTCATTTTGATTCTATCAATAAATTATTAAGGACTTTTGCAGGATGCATGGCTTGATAATATTGAAGTTGATCCAAGATATTCTGCATTAAGCTCTGTAGCAACAAATGATGAGGAGGAGGTTGAAGACCTTTCTTCTAAAGATGTTGGAATCATGAAGAGGCGCATTGCAAATGTTCTCGAACCAGGGGAAACGGTAATTTTGATGTCTTTTGTTCTACTGAAGTATCATTGTAAAATTCAACATATTTATTTGCCAACTCACTCAGTGTAGAGCATCTATTTATTTAGGCAAACATTAATTTGCTTTATGGCCATGGAGTTGTGAAATTTCTCAAGTTTGAGTCCTTTAAATACATAGTAATTTAAAATTTTATCCTCTAAATGTGTAAAGAATGTGCAATTTTGACCATATAATTTTAAAGTTGACACAAAGAAATGTAGAAAACAAGAAAAGTTGAGTATGCTGCTAACTCCGCAGTAGGTTATGCAGCTTTACTTTTAACTTGACTTGTTACTGTTTTACCTCTCTCTCCTTCATTGTTGGCAGCGAAAAACTAGATAATTCCCAATTTACCACAAAAAAGGGTTATTATTGTTTGTAAGAATAAAAGAAGTCAAGGTATTGTTACAGTACAGAAAGTTATATCTACCTGGTAACTAACTGCCACTATTAATTTTGTATCCTGTTCAATTACTTATTCTCTTTAAATCTTGCAATTGTAAATCGTTATACTTGAGCAGGATAGAATTTATATACAATATATTTATTGTGTTATGGGGTGGTGTTTGAGTGTCATTTGATGGGTTCTATTAACTGATACTTCTTCCATTAGGTTTTACAAGCCTTGAGAAGGTTGAAAGGTAACAGTGACAGAAAGGCAAAAATGTCTGCTGAGACTAAAATTGTATTTGACCAGCTAACTGAGGATGCTATGAAGCTGATGGAGAATGGTGAATTCAGTTAAGTTATTGTCATTGGGCCATTGTAGATATTAGGCATGGTTGAAACATTTCCTCATTATGATGGTCTGATGAGACTCTTTATGTTGTGCAACTTTTCTTGCTTCATTGTTTTTTTTAAAGGGATGTGTTTTTCTGCGTGATGCTTAATTTTGATTCCTTTATTATTATTAATTTTTTTTACAGATGTTTATCATGAAAAGAAAGAGGTTTTTGAGCGTGAAGCAGGTCAGTGTTATAATGTCTTTATTCTATTGCTATTATGTTCTATTATTGTGTTGACACCTTTACTTTAAGTTTTATCATAGGAGTTACATGATTAATAACACGAGGGAATATGATGCTTGATTTGCTAATTTAATTGGATTTAATTATTGATTGTTCTTCTATGCTCATGACTAATATAATGCTTTCCAACTTACATTTTTATTATGGTTAGTTATGTTTTTATTATTAACAACATTTTTTGAACCTCCATATTAAGCTTTATATTTTGGGAAATTGGTCCTCAACAGTATTTAATCTCAACATTTTCCTTGTCCCTTCTCCATTCCTTCAATGGTGATATTGACATTTGACATATAGGTTTATGAGGAGCAAGGAAGGGTATCTGTTTCCATAGTAGCACTAACTGGCTAATGCTTATGCCTTTTATGATCTCCTTATTTCAGAAGGATATGAAAAGTTAGCCCTGGCAAAAGGAGAAGGCACATCTCTGCACTCAGGTGAAGGGAATTCTTATCTAAATGGGGACGAAAAGTTACTCTCTGATGAACTGGATTCTGGTGTGGCCTCTGCAATGTTCCACGGCACAGCCATTGGCACTTCAAATCCACATTTGGCTAGTGCAGAAGTTTCTAATGGTGCAGATGAGTTCGATATGTTTGCAGATGATGATGAGCATGCTACTACCACCAAGTCCTCTACTGATGAAAATAATGCAGTTAGTCAACCATTATCAGATGCCATAAATTCTGGTACAGAGGGTAAATACATTGCCTCAATAAGTTTGGCATCTGAAATGGAAATTCTTGCTGCTGATTTTATCTTATAAGTTTTTTACTTGACATGGTTCTACCTATCTTACCAGGTGGAGCAGTGCAAAATGATTATGTGTATGACGAATCTTCTGGGTAAGACTATTCTCTTCCCTCTACATTTTGGGAATTAATCAGACAAATACGGCATTAGTCACCTCTGTTGCAATGCCATAAAAATTCATTTAGAATAGCATAAAGAATGTGGCAAAATAAGTTGATATTTGTACCATTTTCTACATTCTCTTAATGGATTTTTTTTTAATCAAAAAATTCTGTTAAAACTTGATCTGATATCAATTTACTTGATGGTCCAGATACTATTACAGCAGCAGTTTGGGCTATTATTATGATCCAAATACAGGGCTTTATTACTCTGCAGCGTCGGGACAATGGTATTGCACATTTATAATTCATCCTAGTGTGTGTTGCGTGCCAGTTTTTATTTTGATATCTGTAGCCTCTTTGTTTACTAGTGAGGGTCCTAAACATGGCTTTCCATATGGCTTCTTTGCCTTTTTGTTTAAATTCTATTCTCGTTTGATAGATATTTCTTATTGTAAAATATATTATGATACTCGTACTTTTAATCTTCATCTTGGGTTAAAAAAAGCACATATTCTTGGTGATGGGTAGACACTAGACACTTTTATCATTCAAGAAACAAAAGAACCCAAGGAAAGAGAGAGGAGGGTGGGGGGCGGTTTGGATTTAATAATATCTATCTATAATTTAGACTTCTTACAATTTGTGGGATGCCATGTTGGATGGACCTTGCAGAAGTAGCTGCATTGTGTACTGCAGCCAATGCAGTGACCCATTGTTGGTCTTACTGCCAAGTATGTTTCTAGCTCACTGGGAATGTTTTTTTGTTTACACACAGGTACTCATTTAATGAGGAGAGTAACACTTACGATGAAGTTCACGAGGTTGCATCTGATGTGAGTTGAGGGACCCGTTCCAGGGGAGTATACACTATAACAATCCACAATCATTGTCTATCAGTGGCATATGTACAGACAGAAGCACTCATACTTTTTTGCGAGACTTTCTTCTTACTTAGTTGCTACTGCTAGTTGCTAAGTTATACAGTCGTTTCTCCTTGTTAATGCAAATTTTCGTGTAAATTTTACACAGGATAAGGGCGTGTATTTGTTTTTGCGAAAAAAACAAAACATTGTTCTAATGTTATGCAACCCATTTCACCCAAAGGTCCACACTAGGTTTTTCTGGAATTATTTTGCTTAATACGATAATTTAGTAATTGTGTGATCGATTACTAGGATTTGGCTTAAAGTTTTTTCATCCTTATGCAAGTGTAAATTGATTTTATATCAATGTAATAAAAAAATTATATTCATTCTTGGTTCATAATTTAAATATTATATTGACCTAAATAGTATAGGGTAATACTTTTTTCATTTAACATGAGAGAAGTTTTTTTTTCTTACAATAACAAAAAATATGAAGGCCACAAGTTAAAGAAACAAAAGAGAAAAAATTGCAAACATCTATTTATATTTCTATGACATAAGATAATTCTTTGCTACAGTTGAAGAAAACAATTTTCCAATAATATAACAATTGTTACTGATATCATCATAACTTAGATCATAACATAATAGATTAATAAAAAATTGAAAAATAGCCGTGCTTATCGTACTCAACCTACCAAATGTCATCCTTATGAGAATTAATGCTGCTATTTCGTACAAATCACCTAACCCAGAAAAAAAACTACCATGTTCTAATAATTTTAGAATTTAATTTCGATGCACCTAAAAATAAAATATTTCCTTCTAAAATATTTATGAGAGAAATTCAACCTCCTTAACTATTGATATTCTTCTCCTAAACTCAATTAGCAATCGTTCAAGATTGTATGAGATTATAGGTTATTATTAAAAAAAATACTCTTCAGTAAAATCAATGATTAAACCTACATTAAACAGATAGATATGCTGAATTTCATATAGAGCTATTCATCACATCATGCAAAAGGCATCCCTAAAGTAAGATCGTTACGAAAAACTTCTAAAATATCTTAGGTAAGCGTTTATATCTACAGTGGGTAAATGAATACGCATTCATCCACTCAATTAAGTATATCGTTATCTTTATCTCCAAAAAAAAAAGAAGGTATATCGTAATCTTTAGCACACTAAAATTTAAGGGTAGACACGCCTTTACTTGCCTATTTACTATACAGAAAAACTTAATTTTCAAGAGCTTTTTCACAAAAGATCAATCCCTAAAATTACTTGGCTCCAGCAAGGGTATAGGACTAATGCTACAATATAATTTCATGATAAGATTAAGCCTTGTTTCTCAATTATGCTAGGCATAGTACTATAGTAGCATTCTTTTTAAACAGTTTTTTGACAAATAACAAACTGCTCTCAAACAAGACATGGCCAATAAAGCAACAGGGATAAAAAATCTGGCTTCAAACACAACAGTCAAAATACAGGTGTGCCTTTCCTGATGAACAGCACTGTCATGATCGCAAAAGTTAAAACAATATAACTTTCAAATGCAAATCAGTTCTGACATCAGAAGATCTGTATTGCAACAGTAGATCTCCCATCCTTTAGACAACAAAACAATCAATGAACACAGATTTATGAGGCAATACAAAATCAGCTATATATAAAATCATAACAGACATTTTGAATCTAATCCTTAAGCTTATCTTAATGCAAGCATAGATTCAACTAATTTACGCATAAGGGGGAATTGCTATGGTAACTTGATGGGTAAGGTGCGCAAGATAAATTATCAAGCATTTATTGAGTGCGAATTTCATGATAAACGTTTATAATTATGTTATATATAACCACCAGCCAATGAAATAATTGATGAGTACCATACCCTAGCAAAAAAAAATAAGAGTATCAGCGTAATGCCCATAAGAAAAAAAACTTCTGCAAGGACTTCCGACAAGGACAACAAATTGTAATGGTTCATGAACTATACTAGGAAACTTCAAGTTTAGAAGAAAAACATCTCTAAAAAATAAATTGATCATTATCCAGTTGCAGAACAGTGATCATGCTCACAATATCTGAAGGAACAATTGACTAAGTATATATATATATATATATATATATATATATATATATATATATATATATATATATATGGGGCTGGATATTCTTACACTAGTGTAAGAGTTAGAAGTCTTACACTCAATCTTGGTCATTGATCCACTTATATCTAATGGCTCACATTACTAAAAAAATTAGAGCCCTTAGATATAAGTAAGATCAATGGTCAAGATTAAGAGTGTAACTTACACTGGTGTAAAATGATCCTGACCCTATATATATATATCTTCTAAGTCAATGAAAATTTTAAAAATGAATTGAGACAAATGAGATAGAAGCTACATAAACTAACGGCTGCTTTATAGTGAAAATTTGTGTGTCAAGCAGTTTTGGATTCAACAGAATTCGGCAGGACAGCTAGACAGCCATAATCAGTGCCAGCCGCTAATAACATTGCCAACCTGACCCCAGCATAAAGGACAGCAACAGAGCTACATGCAGTTATTGGTTAGTTCTCCAAATTATTCCCTAACACAAGCTAATCACACAAAAGAAGATGCATAAATCATAATCTCAAAAAGTCAATGTTAAATGAGGCAGTATCCAGAAAAATACCCTAAAAATTTAATCATGAATGTGTTACCATATCATCCCCGCATCATTGTGATTGGAAATACCACACCAGCAAATTAGCATTCATATTTAGGCCACAGTTTAGGTTTAGTATATGCATCTGAATTTACATATGAACAGGTTCAACTCCTATGAGGCATCAGCTACATGTCAAACTACGTTCAACTTGTGTCCATCTCCGCACCAAGAAACCCTTTCAGAACATTTTATTTATTTCAGTGAAAGACCAGACACAGATTTTCAGATCAAAATCAGAATTCTCAGTTGTTGAGGTTTTTCAGAAGAAATAACAAAGTAAACCAAATATCTTACCAATAATCACAACATTCAGAAAAAAGAAAAGAAAAGTCAACTAAGTCCACCAAACCAGCATACCGGTAAATCAATCATACTTCTAAAACCAGCATACTCTTGCAACCAGCACCAAAATCACGACCATGACATAGAAACAGCATCAATAGCAACGATGTCAACATGCACCTATCAGGGCCCATCACTTTTCCCTTTCATAACTATAAAGACCAATAAGTTGTTCATCATAAATTAGGAAGTCTATGAACTGAGCTTTAACTCAATCACGACCATGCCTTCGTAGGAAGTAGGAAAAATAACGAGAAAAATAAAAAAACCTAAATGAAACAATAATGACAATCCATCATAGACTGAGATATTAATCAATCGACCACAAGGTGCAATAGTTACCAAATTCCCAAGTAGAAGACACATTAGCTCAAAATACAGTAGCATCAAAACATCAAGGAAGTCAGATCCTACCAAACCAGCACATAGTTCATAAAATCCTCCATTGAATCCTATAAGACCATTCACAATGATTTAAAGATCCAACATTAGCAAAAATCGCCACAGGAATACTACTCAATACGTCTCCAGAATTTTACAAGGAAAACAGAGCTCATTCCTGCAAATAAATAAATTTGAAAAAAAAAAACACAAGTCAGAATTGATATAAAAAAAACAACTCGTTGAAAACAAATATGGTAATTTTTTCACCGTAAAGTTTTAAGATGAATGTATATGTTACTCACATCACCACCAGAATTTGGAGGGGATATCCTCGGGGAAGCATCATCAGGTCGAGGGCGTGGAGAGACACTGGCAGGTGTAGGTGACCGTCCATGACGGCTCTTCTTCCTCGGAGAAGTACTTTTTCGACTACAATATCAACAATAGAAAAAAGCGAATAAAATAAAGCACACGATTCAATATCAGCAAAAATCACAGACAGTGAATGAGAGAAGACCTACCTATCCGGTGAGTGACTCCGGCTTCGACGACGATAATCTCTGTCGTTTCTTGAACGGTACCTGTCACGTTCATGACTCCTATTATCCCTGTGATCATCGCGATACCTGCACAGAATCGAAACTTGTAGAATAGAATAAACAACGGTAGCTTAGTTTCAAAGCAAAGTGAGTAAGTAACAGCTTACCTTCTCCTTGGAGGACTGCGGCTCCTTGACCTGTTACTAGATCTCGGCAATGGTTCAACAACCCTTCCTTTTGAACTGCAAAAAAGAGAGTAAACCTAGGTCAGTCATTCGATTCGATTCGATTCGATTCAATAGAATAAATGAATGAATGAATGAAAAATTGTTATGTTAAACGGTTACAAACATTCTCTCAGCATTAGGGCCATATTTAGCGAACTGGACAGTTATTTCCCGGCCATCGACGACTCTGCCGTCGAGCCTGTCGACGGCTTTCTGAGCCTCGTCGGCGTACTTGTAACGGACGAAAGCGAAGCCCCTGGAATCGCCGGTCCTTCGATCTCTGGGGATGAAGATATCGACGACCTTACCATACTTATCAAAGAGAGGGAAAAGGTCGTCGGCGGTTGTACGAAAGGCGATGTTGAGAACCAGCAGAGAGTATGTGTCGCTGATATCCGGTGGACCCCACCTTCCGAAGTGAGACATCCTATCCTATCCTCTCACTCTCACGCTAATGCTTATGTGTTAGTGTTACCATTAAATCATCATTCATATATGAAATGAATATCTTCAGTAAAGTATAAAAGTTGAGTATTACATCCATTTGTTTTTTAACCCACCCAGCACGCGGATTAATTATTAAGAAATTATTTCAGTTTAATCAATAAACTAATAGAATAATTGATAAATCAATGAATTATATTTAAAAAAAATTAAATATTACGTAAATTTAAAATTAAGAATACAATGTTTAAAATTACAACTATTAATATTAATAATAGAGAAAAGTTATACTTACAACTTTTTTTTACAACCATATTTTAATGCCGTTGATTTTCGGCAATCAACGATCATCATTTATTGTGAATTAATAATTAATTAATGAGTTTAATTTGAAAAAATCATAACTGTTGATTGACGAAAATCAACGATATTAAGATATGGTTGTAAGAGGTTGTAAAAAAAAATTATAAGTATAACATTTCTTTTAATAATATTATAAATAATTAATTCAACATAAAAGCACGAATGGTTAAATAAAAATATATTTATATTATATTTTTTTAATATATCTTATCACACGAGAATTCATTAAATTTATGATGAATAATGTAAAGGTTTATTGTTAATATTTTTATAATATTTAATTATTTATTCATAAATTAAGATAGAAAAAAAAATCTAGATTATTTGATTATTTTTTTTGGTAAGCAGATTATTTGATTATTAAATTTCTAATACATAATAAAATTAAAAAAAAATTATTAGATAAAGATACATTAGTAATTTTAGGGTCTCTAACTTTTCATGGAAAAGAGTTTTTTTGCATCAATCAAAAATAATTATGTTTTATTTGTAAGACATAATTATAATATTAAAGTAATTTTTGTCTTTCCGCCATATCAGTCCACAACTTTATGAGAAAAAAGGAAAAAATTACTTTTAAAATTGTAATTATATTTTACTTATTTTTTATTGTTGTAAAAAATTTCTTCTCCTTTAAAAGGAAGAAGTGCATTTCCCATAATTTTATATCGTATTTTTTAAATTGATGTTAAAAGTTGTAAGAAAATAAAAATGTCACCAAAAAGTTCGCATATAAATGTTTATTACAGTTAAAAGCTTTATTTGCATTCAAATAGTGCCTGGGGCCTGCGAGCCACCCTTTCATGAAGAAGGGTTATCGCAAAGATACAACTCTTTTTCAAAGACGGGCTACGTACTAAAGACGATTGGAACGAATAAAACCGAAGCAATTATTTTATTTGTCCAAGGAAGGGCTAATTATTTCTCGCATTGTTGTTTAGATAATTAGAAATAAAAATAAAATAAAATAAAATAAAATAAAAATTTTATTCAGTAATTTGAGAATTGATTCGATAGAATGATAAAGATTAACAATTTTATTAAAGCAATTTTATTTTATATTTTAAATTTAAAGAAAAAAAGTTAGAATATTAATTCCTTCTGGTTTTAAAAAATTCAAACAATTAAGGCTGTGATGTGAGGTGAGGCACGCTTGAAGTTGAAAGAGCAGAGATGGCGTTTTCCTTCTGAAATGGAAGCTTCGATTGCTTGCTACTGTGTGTAAGCCAAACACAGTTCGTGAAACTCAACACTAAGGTTTGGATTTGATGGCGGAGGAGAGAGGGGAGATCAATGGCGGATTCTCGATGGAATCCACCGAATCGAGGTGGGTTATACAGGAGGACGATGAGGATGCGTCCGATATAGAGGAGGATTTCGACGCTGATTTGAGATTGAGACGCCACCCTAGTATGCTTGATTCCGATGATGAGGATAATGCCGAGCAGAGACTCATTCGTACTGGTCCTCGAATCGATTCCTTCGATGTCGATGCTCTTGATGTCCCCGGTGCTACCAGAAATCACTATGAGGTCTTCCCTTTCTCTCTCTCTCTTTTCTCTATTATCTCTCCTAAAATGGATTGGAATGGAATTTAATACTTCAATACCTTGATTTCCTTTTTAGCTTCTCTCTTTCCACATTGGCTTTTTTTACAAGGAGGGAAATATAGTGTATAGCTTGTATTACTAGTATTTTGCTACTCCAGGGGAATTGTTGTGTTGTAGAGTTTTGACGTAGCAAGTTATGTTCGTTTAGTTGTAGTGGCCACTGGCCACGTTAGTTCTCAATTGTGTGGTTTTAGAATCTCATGAGCTTCAATTTTGTGAATTTTGTTATCATAGTTTGAATTTAAACTAGGAAAACATTTAAGTTAACCTGAAAGTTTCGTGTTTATTCTCTCTCTATATATACATGTGTGTGTGTGTGGGACCTCATGAATTATGATGATTTATTGAGTGATATATAACCTGGTGCACAAATGGAAACTAATAGACATGGAATTTAACATGGTTCAACTCACATCCTACATTCATGAGCAAGACAGAGAGACAATTTTCTATGATCAGTGAAGATTAAAAGAAGTAGCTACTCAATGCTCTAAACCGTAATCCTAGTACACTCAAATTCTCATACATTTTACGACCTAACTGTTGATTTTGCAATCCAAGCCATTTTATAAATACTGTCCAGGGATGCTATTTTTATTGTTGCTTTGTTTTTGTTCTTCTTCTTCTATGGCTTTTGGGTGTTGCTCCTTTTGTAGAGTTTATGGGTTCTGTGAATTTTTGTCTGTAATTCACTTGTGTAATTCTATTTATATAGGGCTTGTGCTCTGTCCATCCCTTATGTAGCTGTAAACTTTAGGGAACATCAACAATCTATATATTAATATTTTTTTGCTTGTTGTCTTCCTTATATTTTATTGCAGGATATCAGTGTGGGAAAGCAAATTGTGTTGGCTTTTCAGACTCTTGGTGTTGTCTTTGGCGATGTTGGAACGAGTCCATTATATACCTTCAGTGTTATGTTTAGAAAGGCCCCTATTAATGGAAATGAAGACATTCTTGGAGCATTATCACTTGTCTTGTACACTTTAATTTTGATTCCTTTAGTGAAGTATGTGCTGGTTGTTCTGTGGGCCAATGATGATGGTGAAGGTAAATTAAGTTAGATATTCTAAAATAAACCTTCAGTACTCTTTGCTTTTCTCTTTCTGTTAATCATAATGTTCAGACAGTTTTTTCCTCAAAATCATAGTTCTTTTCAATCCACTGCAGGTGGTACTTTTGCCTTGTACTCCTTGATCTGTCGTCATGCTAAGGTGAGTCTTCTCCCTAATCAGTTACCATCAGATGCCCGTATATCAAGCTTTAGGCTAAAGGTGCCATCCCCTGAGCTGGAAAGGTCATTAAAAATCAAGGAAAGACTTGAGACTTCTTTGACTCTGAAGAAGATTTTACTTATATTAGTGCTTGCTGGTACTTCTATGGTGATTGCTAACGGTGTTGTTACACCAGCAATGTCAGGTTATTAACTGCTGTTACTTCATGTATTTTTGTAATTTCATTAGACTTGCTTTGGTCATAATGTGTTCGGGATGATACCAATACCGTACCTTTAATCATGGTAGTTGAAATAAAGATCCTACACAGGATTGGAAGAGGGAGGGGAATGCATAAATCTTGTGATTGTAACACGGATTGTAAGATCCTATTTGGAATACAAAATTATATTCAAACACACATATATATATATATATATAGGGGCAGAATATTCTTACACCGGTGTAAGAGTTAGAAGTCTTACACTCAATCTTGACCATTGATCCACGTGTATCCAATGGCTCACATTACTAAAAAATTAGAGCCCTTATATATAAGTGGGATCAAAGGACGAGATTGAGAGTGTAACTTACACTGGTGTAAAATGATCCTGAACCATATATATATATATATATATATATACAAAGTTATCAAATGTGGATTCGCTACAAGTCGCGGCCAACCCCGAGAAACGCTATAGCGTTATAGCGGGTTGCGGTTGCGAAAATAGCGGAATAGATATGACAGAAATAATGACAAAAAGAAACATTTTTTAAAGGTAGAGATAGCATAAGTGACAGAGAGAGACGAAGATAGACTAAAAAACCCTTAAAATTTTTCTATTACACATTTAAATTTAGGACAACATTGACATTTTTCCTTATGACAACAATATGGCCGCGATTTGGCCGCAAATGCGATCACAATGGCCGCTATTGCGTTCAAGTGCGACGCGGCGCGGTTTCTTGCCGCGAGGCACTGCAACGCCCATACGACGCGGCTCGCGGTGCTATTGCGGCGCTATTAACTACTATGTGTATATATATATATATATATATATATATATATATATATATATATAAGAAAAAATAACCTTTAAATCACTCCTAAAATTTAATTGAACTTAAATTGAACCAGCAATACTGCAGTAGAGCCCAACCCAGCTGAACCAGAGTAGTGGCCCGAACCAGCCTAAACAGCTGCTGCAGAAGAGAAGAGGGATTCAAACACTCTTCTGAAGAGAAGAAGGCAGCATCAGTAGCACAATGGAGCAGTTTGGGTTAGGGCTTCAAAACAGAAAAAAAAAGAAAGGGGGGGGGGGGGGTGGTTCACAACTGGTCTTAAAATGGGATGGGTGTTGGGTCTTCAGATTCAGATTTTTGCTGCATGGTGGGATCATACAATGCCTCCAATCCCATGCTCTCACTCAACCATCCCTCGTGATCTCACCAAAACAAGTTTCTGAGTGTGAATAGGATTGCTGGTGGGGAAAAGAATGTAGGGTTGTATGATTTCACTGGAAAGATTGCAAATTTGACTACCATGCCTGTAATGATATCTTGTTGCTTGTGTTCATGGCCAACTGCTGTTTTCATCAACTATTTCTACTGTCTAATTCTTTATAATATTTCTCACTTTCTATCTATGTCTTGTTGCAGTACTGTCATCTGTTGGTGGATTAAAAGTTGGGGTAGATGCAATCAAGCAAGGTATTATGTTAATCTATTAATGAACTCTATTATCTGTAATAGTTACTGATACCTATATTTGATGTTGTTATCCAAGGATACATCCAGAGAATTCAGTTTAGACTTTTATCTTTTCCTTCTTCTTTAGCTAAATGTTGTAATTTTAATATCGCTACTACAATCTACTGACTTGGTCTGAAAGAATAGAAAACCTTTCTGTTTTTGGTTTTGTTTCTGAGGGGGGTAGGGAGGTGGGCATATTAATAAGCTGAGTTGTATCCTTATGTTGTGGTTGTTTGTATAGTTCTAATAATCTTTTCTTCATTTTCGACTATGCAGATGAAGTGGTGATGATTTCGGTTGCCTGCCTTGTCATTTTGTTCAGTGTACAGAAGTATGGAACAAGTAAAGTGGGACTTGCAGTAGGACCTGCTTTGTTCATATGGTTTTGTTCTCTTGCTGGTATCGGGGTATACAATCTTCTCAAATATGACAGTAGTGTCTTGAGGGCATTTAATCCAATTCACATCTACTATTTCTTCAAGAGGAACTCAACTAAAGCATGGTATTCTCTTGGGGGTTGTCTTCTGTGTGCGACTGGTAAACACATATGCATGATCTTGACACTGAGGATGCAATAATACTATATATGTTTTGCCTTGTCATTTATGTAGATTTAGTTCTATTGATGAGTCTGTTTTTACTTGTTTTAAAGACAATGCATTCCTAGCAATCATGATGGTCAATGTCTGAGTTTTAATCGTCTTTGCCTCTATCTGAGGTAGAATAGTCAGAATTGAGGTTCATTGATAATGGGAATTCAAATGTTGAATGTTCTATCACTGCAATTGCCCTGCCCACCCAGCCCACAATAACGATATTATAATGCGGTGAATGATAAATATAAATGTGACTATTGCTGGCATGTATACAACTTCTTCAACCATTGATTAACAATGTTACTGGATCATGTTGCAGGTTCGGAGGCCATGTTTGCAGACCTTTGCTACTTTCCTGTACGATCAGTTCAGGTAATAAATTATGTCTTTGTTATATTTATTAAACTATCATGCTTCTTTCATTTCTTTTATTTCCTTTGTCATGTTGTTAACTAATATGTTGATAAAAGTGGTGTTAATTTGCAGCTTTCATTTGTCTTTCTTGTTTTGCCATGCCTACTACTGGGTTATTTGGGTCAAGCGGCATACCTTATGGAAAACCATGATGATGCTGGTCAAGCCTTTTTTTCTTCTGTTCCAAGTAAGTCTTGATTATATCATTCTTTACAATGGGCTGTCTTTGCAATTTACCGCATATTCAAGTAATACTATTCTCTGTCTACAGGTGGAGCATTCTGGCCAACTTTCCTCATTGCCAACATTGCTGCACTGATTGCAAGTCGGGCTATGACAACAGCAACATTTTCATGTATTAAACAATCGACTGCACTTGGTTGTTTTCCTCGTCTGAAAATCATTCACACCTCTCGGAAATTTATGGGCCAGATCTATATCCCTGTCATAAACTGGTTTCTGTTGGCTGTTTCTTTGGTGTTTGTCTGCTCTATATCCAGCATTGATGAGATTGGAAATGCTTATGGTAATGATTGTGTTTACGTTTCTTTATTTTAATATCTGTAGATGGTTTGTAAAATTTATCAGCCACATTTACATAGCTTTGTCAAATTTTAACTTGGTAATAATGTTAATTTTTGATGGGGTCAACTTTCACAATATAATTGGTTGCATCAGAAGCTTATGTTACTGTAATTATTTGGAAAAGCATTGAACTCCTCTCCTAATATTTCTTTCGCATGTCCTCAACTATTTGAGAAATGATAATACAACTGGAGCCTTGTCTAAGAAGACCCAATTTGCTTAGAGAAAGTAGTTCATACTGAGACCCTAAACCCTATCATTTCCCTGCTCTTTAAACACTGGCTGTAAGTGTATATATGTTTCCATCAGCAAGAATTCTAAGAGGTAGTGGTTATCATTTCATTACAAATGGATGTGATCACATGTGTTGAATTTCAGGAAATAGCTTTCATCTTGAAGTTTGAATTTATAAAATGAATAGATCCTGATCGATACTAATTTGATTTGGGAAGCTAGATCCACGGGGGTATTCATCTTGAAGTTTGAATTTATAAAATGAATAGATCCTGATCGATAATAATTTGATTTGGGAAGCTAGATCCCGGGGGGGGGGGGGGACTTGATAGTTTAGCTTTCTTTAGCTATTCTGCTCTGCACTGAACTCAGTTCATTATTACTATATTATTATATAATATTATAACATTTGTATTCAGCTTGTTCCTTTGTCCTCTTTCAGGCATTGCTGAGGTGGGGGTGATGATGATGACCACTATTTTAGTAACCCTTGTTATGCTTCTTATATGGCAGATACACATCATCATAGTACTGTGTTTCATGGTAGTCTTCTTGGGATTGGAATTGACTTTCTTTTCATCTGTTTTGTGGAGTGTGGCGGATGGAAGTTGGATTATATTGGTCTTTGCCGCTATAATGTTTCTTATAATGTATGTATGGAATTATGGAAGCAATCTCAAGTATGAAACTGAAGTCAAGCAAAAACTTTCAATGGATTTGATGCGAGAATTAGGTAGTAATCTTGGGACAATACGAGCTCCTGGGATTGGTCTACTCTATAATGAGTTGGTCAAAGGAATACCGGCAATTTTTGGCCATTTTCTGACAACACTTCCTGCAATCCATTCCATGATTATATTTGTGAGTATTAAATATGTTCCGGTTCCTATGGTACCTCAAAGTGAAAGGTTCCTTTTCCGACGAGTCTGCCCAAAAAGTTATCATATATTTCGTTGTATTGCCAGGTAACTAGGTCCATTTTTTCACAATTAGGGATGTGTGTAGTATTAGATCAGTGGAGATGTGAATTTTTACACCCAGGCTAAGTGGTACAACCTTGGAAAAATTGAGTGGATTGTGAAAACGAGGTCTTATATATTACTTTTAGAAACAACATGAGCAATAGCTTCATGTGAACTTCTCTTTAAGGGGTTAATTAGTGAAATAATATATCCTATCCTCATAATAAAAATGTCTTTTTGTCTGAACTTTTATATGTTAAACAGGTATGGTTACAAAGATGTTCGTAAAGAAAATCATCAGACTTTTGAGCAGCTGTTGATTGAGAGCCTAGAGAAGTTTATACGTCGAGAGACCCAGGAGAGGTCATTGGAGAGTGATGGGGATGATGATATGGATTTAGAGGATGATTACTCTGGTTCTAGGGTTCTCATAGCTCCCAACGGGAGTGTTTACTCACTTAATGTTCCTCTTCTCGCTGATTTTAAGGATACAAGCAATCCCGTTTTAGAAGCAAGCACATCAGAGGTGGTAAGCCCAACATCCTCTATTCCCCCGGTGTTTGATGCTGAGCAGAGTCTTGAGAGGGAGTTATCTTTTATTCGCAAGGCTAGAGAATCTGGAGTTGTTTATCTTCTTGGTCATGGGAATATAAGGGCAAGGAAGGACTCATGGTTTATCAAAAAGCTAGTTATAAATTATTTTTATGCCTTTTTGAGAAAGAATTGCAGGAGGGGGATCACGAATTTAAGCGTACCCCACTCACATCTGATGCAAGTTGGCATGACTTACATGGTTTGAAAATAATTTTGCAGCCCAAATAAAACACATGACAATTTACTTGGAAGCTGCAGTTTGATAACAGTGAGCAGGGCCCTGGAAAGCTCTTCTTTTGGAATGCACAGTTCCAAATGTTTGCTCGATCGCATCTAGTTGTTTGGATACCCAAATTATATAATATCTTTCCAACTCATCATCCAGAAGTTGTACTAATGTTCGTTGTGGTTTTGGGCTTGCCATCTGCATACATGGAATTGGAATAGGCTGATAACAAAAAGAAAAAGATATGCTAAAACACTATACATCATTGCATAGACATATATGTAAATGAGTCAAGTTCCACTTCAATGTAAAAAAAAGGGTGTACGCAGGGTATTGTATAGTGGCATGTGATTGCCCTTAATTTTATTCTTCTATCTGCTTTAGTTCGCATAAATTTGTTGTCTGCCTTATTATCTCTTAGAAACATTTTCTTGATTGAAACTCAAAAGAGATTGAACTGGTCTAGGAGCCGAACTAGCCGTATGGTCTTGTCTGAGCATCGGAGTCTTCTGTGAACGGTGGTTACTGTGGCGAAAAACGGTGATTACTGAGGATCGGGGTACACCATATTTATCTTTTATTAGAAATATTTTCATGTTGTGCCTTACGCTTTTTGGTTTTTAATTTACTAAATCTACCAGTTGGAATCTAAACACTTCTTAGCAGTTCTAAAAGTGTTACTGATTCAGAAATTCTGTTTGTCCCCCGCTCCCCCTTGCTATCAACCTTCTATTCTTAATTAAAAGCCTTTTAAGCATAGAATGCCTTAAACAAATTCGTTATCACTAAAATCTTGTAAAAGAAAACAGTTGGCTGACACCGAAGTCATCATATGCTCATGTTGCTCCGAATTTTGAACCTTTTTTTTTTAAGAAAAAAAAAAAAACTTTTCTTAAATATGTTTTATTTACAATTAATAATTTTCTTCTGCTTTTGATTCCTAAAAATTATATTAATTTTTTTTAATAACCGATTCTCTACTTGCATCTACTGTCAATTAAAGTATTTTTATATTTACTTTAAATTTAAAAATAAAAAAATTAAATCACTTTAATTAGTCTTATAAAACCCTGACAAACAATCAATTCAAGATGCCTCTGTTAATTATCTTAACTTTTATAAGGGAAAAGCACCTGAAAATTAATTTTGCAATTAAGCGACCACTTTTCTCTTACAAACAATGGAACCTAAATTGTATTTATGTTGCTAAAATTAATATTATTAACTAGCAAAATAACCTTAGTCCATAACCTAGTTATTTATTATAAATTTTGATTATTTTTATCAAATTTTGAAATAAATATTTTGTTATAACACTTTTACTTAAGGACAGTAAAGCTCTGTTCAGATCATCATCCTAACTAAATTAAGAGAGCCAAAAGATAGAGGCAACACAAATTGTTCTATCAATCATTCTTCATCCACAACTCTGGTACTTTGATTTTTGGATCCAAGTTGGTTTAATCCAATTCGAGCGACCCATATTGGCTGATAATTTGATTTTAATTCTCAAGTATGCTATGAACATCTTCATATTGGCATGTTTATTATCAACATTTTGAAGCAACCAGCTGGTACGGAAATCACCAAGATGTCCTGTGTATCATACACACAAAACCCAACCAACTTCACATGAATGAGTTCACAAAATTCTTGATAGCTACATGTTTGCTAATTTTAGATTGAACATCAGCAAATTCTACAACATGCAGGGCCACCTGAGCACAACATGACTCTCCAATAAACACCAGAAGCGGCGCAGAGACTTACCTATTGAAGAGAATAGAAAAAATATAATATCAATAGTTGATTGTAAACCTATCCTATAAATCTAAGAATGGAGGATATAAAATTTGAGATCAGTTTAGTCATTTAAATGGTGTCGTTTTTCAAACTTAGAACTTCGTGAAATGAGGACATACCATTGACTCCAGATGACCACTCTTTTGTATTTTATATGCTGAGATAGTAATTCCTTCAGTCGCTATCTTCCTGACCTGCCACTCAACCCACCAAGCTTCATGTAAATCAAATAAACTCTACAACATACATATACTTTCTTAGAGGTAATGGCTGTTAAGTGAACAACAAGAAGACTTAGCAGAGTAAATCTTCACCATCATATTTTAGTATTTTAAGCACGTGTATTCAACAATTCAAAGGTATAACTATAGACAACAATCGAGCAATTAGTTAACAATTCTAAGAGTAACATAAAGTTGAGTTTTACGACATCGATATATACAGACTCAAACTGTCCTCTAACATTTTAATTATTTCTTATATTGAGAGGTAAGAGACATGGCAAGGATGCTACTAAGAAGGGATGGTCAGAGGTATATATGAATAAACTTTTAAAAAAACAAAATTAGAAAGAAGAATAACCAACCAAGCCTACAATTTCATGAAAAATAGACCAGTAATAATTTAATAAAGGTAAAAGCCACTAAATATAGAAGGACTTTCACATTTTCATATATAAACCATGAGAAAAGTTTTATCATTTTAAATGACATAAAGTTATGTCATTTTAAGAGAGAGATAGACACAAGAAAATATTTTTTTATTTAAAATTTAAATTAAAAAAAAAACCATCCACTTTCTCTCTCATGATTTTCATTCCTTGTGTCTATCTTTCATTTAAAATGACATAACTTATGTCATTTAAAATGACAAACACCAAACCCATAAACCATATATGATACCACTTATTTTGTAAATATCAATAAAGGAGGTCTATCGAGGGTATATTAAGGAGAAGAGAATGCAAGCATTATACATGAAAAAGGAATCAAATGACTAGAAAACTAAAAAAGGTTCTTTATTGGCAAATACTTCTTCCGTGCCACAAATTGTCCCCACAATATTGGAAAATTCTTTAGTGCTACGGGACTATGGGAGTACCGAACTCGGTACTCCATTTTACTAAAAAGGGAAGAAAAATTCCATCTTTAACCATGCTTTCTTTTATAATTCCTTTTAAGTCCAAAAAACTTTCCTCTTTTAGCATGGATGTACCTAACTACCTATGGCTGTTGCACCGAAAGTTTTCTCCACAATATTCAGGCAGCTCCCCCACGCCTTCCCAACAATCTTTATTAGTTTTGTGGAGGAGAGAGCAGGGAGTTCATATTCATTCTATTGGATTGCATGCGGTTGTATGGGACAATTTTAGTATAACTCCGAGGAATGTGTCAAAAAAGTATTATTATGACATGCTTCGTGATCTCTATATAGTAGTATATACTCCATTTCTTTTCTTCTATATTACATAATAAAGTAGCATTTACAACAGGGATCAGATGAATGCCGTATGAAAAATTAATGAAATAATAAACGTGATGATGATGTTAAAACAATACCTCGAAGGCTAGAACTGAAACCACAGCTAGTTAAATGCTGTGCAAGTGCCTCCCCTAATCGGTTCTGCCAATTTGGTGCAGTTTTTTCTTCAGATACAGGCGAAACTATTGCTATCTCGGATGTTAGATTCACAGTAGCAGATGACACTTGTGGCTGTCCATTAATAATTGAACATAAACATAAAAGAACACAAATTTATATTGCAATAAGAGTGTAGTTTAAAAAAAGATAGAGCATTTATTTGTTACATACCTTAATATGATCAAGGATATAAATATACATCTTTGAATACCAATTTTACCCTTTCACCCAACACCAAAATAGGTTTAAGAGAGAGTGACTAGGAAATTATAAATTGGTGCTTAATCCTCAGTTGAACTAGCCCTACCCCTATTGAAAAAAAAAAAATTGAAATTTAGAACAACATATATACTTACTCGACTTTCTAGAATTCTTTTGACGTTAGCTGCACATCCCTCGCACATCATTCCCTGGCACACACACACACACACACAGAGAGAGAGAGAGAGAGATGGATTTTTATTCCGTTTCTTTCAAAATTGACATAAAGGGTTGAAATTGAAAAAGAGGAGTAGGTCAAAGATACCCCAACATGGAGAATAATAATGGAATCGTCGCCGCCGCCGCCGGAAGAAGCAGCTGAGCACCGCAAAGGCATAATAGAAGGGCAGGAGTTAAGGCGGCGACGGAGCTGGAGGAGTGGCCTGGTTCTGACTATGGCGTAATGGTTGTTGAGAGGTTTGAAAAGCGCCATCGTCGCTGTGACAGAAAAAGCAGAATCCATTGCAATTCCAATCGGAACTGGAATTGGAGAAGAAGACATAACTACAAAGCTCACAAACTCGCTACAAAGCAAAACCGAGAGTTTTGGCCAGTGTTGTTAAACCCCACGTCCGCATCGACCCGGTCAGGGTACTGGGTCACTGGTCAGACCGGTTGACCCAGATATATAAAAATATGAACATATAAATTTAATTATATCTTTCATATCTAAAATAAATTAAACAAGATTCACTAAATAAGTTAAAAAAATGAAGCATAAATAAATAAAAGCGCATGCTATTACTATGTCAATTTAAATGGCAACTCATAATCCCCATAAACATACCTTTCAATGACATTGAACTTATATTTTTCAAATTCAACTACATTAAAATGACATATGTAACATTCTCTAATTTATTATTTTACAAATTGCTTTAGTATTGGAAACTAAGACGTCATTGTAGAAGAGTATACTTGCAAATAAAATTATAAAAAGTTGTTAAAATGAGTTTTACATTTTTTTATAAGATGAAACAATTTTGGTTTTTTTTTTTTAAATGCATGACCCGACCGGGTCACCGGGTTTGGCCGGGTTTGTCCGGGTTTTGACCGGGTTTGACCGGGTCGATGCATGACCGGTCCAATGCTTAACCCGAACCAGTCTAATAACCGGTTCACCGGGTTCCGGGTCAACCCGGCCGGGTCGGGCCGGGTTTGACAACACTGTTTTAGCACAAATTAATAATTGACCTTTTTTTTTGGGATTTTTATTTTATCCTTTAACATAACACAATAAATTTTTCTACACTCACAACATTTTGTGGGGCTCACACTTTTTAAAACAAAAAAATAAATAAAAAATTAAGGCACGCAAAACGAATCTCTATAACATTATACAATCACTTCTCCTATAACATAACTCTTATAAAACCCTTTTTTTTCTCATGTCATATATGATTTAGTATCTCTCATGTCATTATACAGACACAATAAATGAAGCCCATCATTTGTTAAAAAACAAAAAGAATAACACAAATTTTAATATCTCAACAACATGAGAAAGCTATTTTCTATTACAGAAAAAAATGATTTTGCTTAATAATTATGGAAGAATATATTAAAATAAAGGATAAAAAAACAACTATTGATTTATATTTTAAAATATAAAAATGAGATGATCCATATTCTTGTGCATAATAAAACTATGTGATGTTTATGATAACGTTGTTATTTTAAGATTAAAAAATTAAAAAATAAAGATTATTATAATTTTAAATAAATTAAAATTATAAATATATTATGATTTTTGTGTCAAAATGATATCATTTCAATTAACGTTAGACAATATTATTTAAAGAAATTTTAAAAAAAATAGAACCCATGAAATAATATAATCTGCCATCAAAATTTTAGAAGGGTTCAGTAATCACTTTTAGGTATTAAATTAAAATTGTTTTCAATCAACAAAACTAGAACGAACTAGTTAGTAGCTCTTAAATTTTTCCGCAAGTGAAATTTGTCAAGTAATCGATAGAGTGTATATTACCTTAATAAAATTATCTTTTCAGTTATAATAATGATTTATGAATGTGTAAAAATCATTTTTATCCACTTAAGTAAGAGAGAGATTCACATGGATTCCAAGATGGACCCGTCCGTGAAATTGGATATTCATCTACATAACCTCAACGTGTCACAAATATATTGGTCTCATTCTCATTTTGCAAAACAAAAAGATTGATGATGTTACGGGTACATTCTTTTTAGTTTTTACTATATTTTTTTATTAATGACAAGTAAGTTTAAATTATTTAATAAATCTTATACTAAAAGTGTGTCATAAAAATGCGTTTTGAGCGTTTTTCACGACAAAATATTAAAAAGTTTCTCGTAAACTTATATAAATTCCAAAAATACAGCATCAGTTTTTCACTTTGTCACGTCACTTGAGAGTTGAGGGAAAAAAGAAAAAAAAACAAACAAAAACAAACAAAAAGTCTCTCTCTCTCTCTCTCTCTCTCTCTCTCTCTGTGTGTGTGTCTCGTCGTTCGCCGTTCCGTTGATCTCAGATTCAGTCTTCACCATGGCGGAGCGTGCTTCTTACGAATTGGGTCCTCGATTAGGTTAGTTTTCTAATTGCTTTTTTTTTTTTCATTTCTTAATTTTTAATTGGTCGTGGAATGCTTGGATCCTGTAATTTAATTTGTTTTTTGGGAGCGATTTCGTGTGATGGAGCTTCGTAGAACTTCAATTCTCAGCTCTGGAATTCTGTTTTCTTTGTTGAATGGGTTCCTGTTGTTGGGACCAAGTGTCAGTCTCTGAAAATGGTTTCGCTAAGGGACCTAAGGCTTGGTTTTTCTGAGGTTGAGAAAAACTGAGAGCAATCGATTCGGGGTTCGAAACTATTTCGTAAATAATCATTTTGAGTTTTTTTCAATATGAGATTTTGATGACGCTTTTAGTCCAAGGTAGACTTTTTATTAAGTGATTCTCCGACTACCATTTCATTTGCAGTGAGAGGAACTGGATCAGGTGCATATATCAAAAACATTTTTGTTTTAGGTATGGAGAAAGGGTTGATTAGATTCACCTTTACAAATAGGACAATGAAGTTCTGATGGCTGAGGTGTCATATTTTTATGGTTGAATGCCTTGGTGAAATTGTTGGATTTTCTTGAATTTACATGGAAAGTTGCTTGGTTGCTACGGGTTACCCAATCACAAGAAAGTTAGCTAGTTTGCAAGATGCCCTGCTAGGACATCTGATGACGTGGTCTGCAGGGTTATTTAAAAGAAAGGGGTTAGGAACACTGACTGAACATGGGTATGAGGATATGTTACGACACTATATGCAGATATGACATTCAAAAAATATAGGATAATAACATGGTTAAAATAAAACATACCAAATTAACATAAAGATATAAATCCTAACAGGAGCAGTTGTAACCATTATTACATAGTCATTCCTAGTAGAAAATCTAAGTCGAAATTAATAGGCATCAATTTTTCAAAAGTCAGCATTTGTTAATATAGACAAAATAAAAGATTATTATTTATCAAATTCTTATGACATCCCACCCTTATCGGTACAAAAAATCAAAAGTAAAAATCATGACTCAGACCAGCAGAATTTGATAATATCTTACCAAAAACAGTTTATCAGCTAAAAACTATCTCTACAGCGTTTCCATTTTAAACTGTTCTGATCTGAATACAAAATAAGCTCATCCAAACACTCACTTAAAAGGGATCAAATCAAACAGATTAGGTAGAAAAGAATATATTTGGTAGATGGAGTGTTTTTTGGGGACAAATAGCATGCTAAAGTTGTGTACTGGACACTTTGACCCCAATAATCAGCTCTTGGCTGACAGCATCAGTGTTCTTTTCATTTGTCAGTAACAACCAATTTTCTTATTGATGTCTGTGATTTTGTGGCCATAGTTTGATTCTTTAAACTTGCATGAATAATTGTATTTGTGTATGTGAAAAAATACAGAAATCAAGTATTTGACTGAATGGGATAATATCAATATGCAGATTTTCAGCAGTTACAAGTTGAAGCCCAGCATCGGTGGTTGCGACCTGCAGAAATTTGTGAAATTCTTCGTAATTATCGGATGTTTCATATCGCAACAGAACCTCATAACAGGCCACCAAGTATGTGTTACTACTGCAGCATATGTTACTGATAAATTAATTGGCACCTGTATATACTTACTATATAATGCTTACATATGTGGGTAGTAGAATAAATTACCCTAGAAGCTTAAACTTAGAAGCTCTAATCTTCCATGAATTTGTTTGTTGCGTCTGGATGTTAACCATTGTTTGGAGGAATTAATAACAGCCTTCTGGGCGCCAAATGTTGTGGTTGGAGTTGGACATGGCAGTATTGCCCTCCGTAGGTCCATTTAGCTGAATTGAGCTCCTTTTAATGCTGTATAGAGTTTTTTAATTGTTCATTATCTGAACTTAAGGTGTTCCGGTTCCAATAGATCCTTTATAGTTTAGTTCAAGGAATACAGGCACATCGGGTAATATGGTAAATAATTTTTTCATGAAATTTGATAGCAATAGATCTCCTTATATGCTTATTACATAATCTTTATATTTCAGTAATTTTAAGGATATTATTAGTAGTATTTTGTTGTTCCGGCTAAAATCATGCTTTGTAGTTAACTTCGATCCATCCTTTAACTCCTATTGTTACTTCTTGCTCATAAAGACGCCACTTAATAACTTGTATTGATTGCAGGTGGTTCACTTTTTCTTTTTGATCGGAAGGTGTTGAGATACTTTAGAAAAGATGGGCATAATTGGAGAAAGAAAAAAGATGGAAAAACTGTGAAAGAAGCTCATGAAAAGTTGAAGGTAAGCTTAAAATTTTCTTGAGTTTTGAGTTTGTAGCTAATCTAGTCTTTGTAAGACTGGCATATATGTAAGGCGATTCAAATAGTCTTCTCTAACTGGAAAACAAGTCTTTCTACTGGTAAATAATTAATTGCTAAGGTTGTAACATCCTTCAAGCATATTTAGGTGGGAAGTGTTGATGTGTTACACTGCTACTATGCACATGGAGAAGAAAATGAAAATTTTCAGAGGCGAAGCTATTGGATGCTTGAACCGTGAGTATGAACTGATTTACTTCAAGATTTTGTGTAGTGATATATCTTGGAAATTCAAGTAAGGTCATATTTCCCATGTTTGTTGACTTGTAAGCTTCTTAGTAAGTACTGCATCAGTGCATTTGCAATCATATCTCATGTGAATTTGTAGATAAAAGTTTTTTAGGATGTTTCTTTGTCCCCAAACTTAGTGGAGAGCTACATTTTTTACTTTTCTCTGGTGTTTTACTTGTGGATGCTTTGAAGGAGTTGCTAACTTAGATATGCTGATTTTTGGCAGCTTTACTGCATTCTCAGGCTTCCCTGTTGTCCTTTATTTTTACATTTTCTGTTTTTGAGGATTTCTTATCCTCCCTTTGGTTGTAATTCACTAATCCACCTATTTCTCCCTAATAAAGTTTCTTTTTCTATCTAAGAAAATTGCAGATAATAGTTTTTAATGCTATTGGGGTTGTAACTATTTGTTTCCATGTTAGCTAATTTTTAAGTTTTCAATATACATCTACCAAAATATTTTATTTCTTCTTATACTTAATCATGATATGTTTTTCTTGTTAATTTTTTTTTACTGCAGGGATATGATGCACATAGTTTTTGTTCACTACTTGGAAGTTAAGGTATTTTGATCGTTTTTATTTTTTTTTTCTGTTATTCTTTTTGTTATTACCAGTGGTTGTTTTTATTCTCTTTTGTTATTATCTGTGGTTGTTTTGATCCATTTTCACTGTAAAATTTTAACACTATCACCTAATGACGTGTTGAGCGTTGACACATCATTAAAAGAGTTTGTGTTCCTCTGTAGTTGTTGTGATTGTTAAACTTTTTTAATGATTTGGCAATATATGATTTGATGATAGCATAAAGAAGTTTTACATTGACAAATAATTGAAAGTAAGTCCATCCAGATTATGGTCAGTAAATCCATCTGGATTATGGTCAAGTATTTAAATTAGGATGTTGTATGTAAGTATGTGTAATGTATAAGTTGTACCTTTTGTAGGACTACTTGCTAATCATAATTTGCAAGTAGTTTTATTGTTGAGGGGTGAGGGTGGGGGAATTTCATTCTGTCATACTCATGGAATGATATGGTGGTTGTGTCAGTTTGCGATTAGACAAAAACATATAGTTATGTTCTAGCATATTAATTTATCTTTATGAAATAGGAAATCTTATCTGGGCTCACTTTACGATGAGTGAGTGCAGGAAAGTCTAAAAGGTTAGCATTGCTAAATAGGAAGGATAAGTTTTATGGCATCTAATGGCTCAAGCGAGAATTGTTCTGATCTGTTTCATATTTAAGTGTCCATGTAAACTAGAAGGAGGGAACACAAATGCTCATTTTTTTCTTATCCAACCGTCAACTATAATGCGGAGGCTAATCCAGCTGCTATTTTAGTTCCTTCTGAATTTCTTGCCATGAGGATTGTGGAATATGGTTTCTTAGTATTGTTGATAAATGAGTGCAGCTAAGTGTTGTAAATATTTGTAATTATTGCATTTTCTTTATTAGCTAGATTAGTGTATCCTTGCTATAAGATTTAGGTTTATTCCTCTCGCCCCATCAGTCTCTATATTATAATGTAATAATATTTCAGTTTTCTCCTTTCAAGTCTAAGCTTAAGCATTTTACCAACTATTAAATGTTGAAATGTAATAGTTGCTCTTTAGCTGATATGCTATTTTTTTTTAACTGCCATGGGCAGGCCCCTATCAATAAAAAATCTCAATTGATGATACTAAAGAAGATGCATAATCCTTTTTGAAAAGATCCTGAAATCTATTTCTGTCATATTATTTCTTGTAATCAGGCAGAAAAAATTGAAGCTGTTCGATATAAAAGTATCCTTGTCTTGTAGTTCTGGTCTTGATACTTGTGTGCTCGGTGACTTATTAATGGATGTTTTGTGGATTCTTCATCACTCAGGGTAACAAGACAAATATTGGAGGAGTTACCGATAGTGATGAGGTCACATCAGATTCCCAAAAGGTTACCTCTCCATCGTATGGCTTTCCCTCAAATTATAGCAGTGTACCTTCACCGAGTACCGATTCCATGAGCCCAACTAGCAGTTTGACATCTTTACGTGAAGATGCTGATTCTGGTATTTCTGCCTAAATTTATTTCATGGGTTTCAAAATTTTATGTAATCCTTGTGAGCCGAATTATGCTAAGGCTTTAAATATCTTGGTGTACTGTTACAACACATATTTGTTTACGAGTTTGTCCCATTTGGTCACACTTAAGATGGTTTTATCAAACTTCTTTCCAGAGGATATTCACCAAACAAGTTCTGGATTACGCCCATTACTTGAGTCGCAACAAATGGGGAATGGTCGTCCTCTGGCGGAAAAGGTTGATTCTGGTCCAAACAGTTCATATCTTATGCATCCCTTTTCAGGTTACCTTGCCTTCTTTTGTTTCTTTTTTGTTGCCTTACATGATTATTTTTGTAACTTATATTAGGCAACCTCTCAACTCAAGCTTTTCTGAGAATTGGCCTTTTTCTCCCCCTTGTACTTCTTAAAATATTTTCAGGTAATCATGGACATTCATCAATTTCTGGAACGGATTATATCCCACCTGTTCACAGGGATAAATTTAGAGGAAATGATGCTACTTATATTGATCGCCAGAAAGCACATGGCATGACATCCTGGGACACTGTCTTGGAGCAATGCTCTGCAGAATTGCATAGCGATCCTTCTGTTGTATCATTTCCTTCCATGCCATCTAGTTCAATGAGAAATATCCTTGAACAAGAGCATACCATTTTGGGTGGTCTTTTAGAGAGCAAAAGTGGTCTCACTGAGGAAGCAGGGAGCTCTCAGTCTCTCCAATCAAATTGGCAGGTACTTAGTGTTACTGCATGCTATGTCTACCAGTAGCATCATCTGGGACTATTATTTTTTAGGATGGAACAGTTATCATCTGAGAGTCTTAGAGACTAAGGCCGGTGCCAGAGCCACTTGAACTACAATCTTCATTAGTAATTTTTGTTAAACTCAAGGAAGAACTGTGTTTTAAACTGTCTGGTATTGAGCTGCATGTGTACATTTAATGGTTTTTAATTGTTTCTGAAATTTTAAAAATATGATACACGATTGGGTTTCTTTTCTTTTCTTTTATATTACAATTTTTTTGTTGACTTGAGCCTTCTTCAGATGTATCCGTATCCAACCTTTTGCTAAGATTAGTATTTATTAGGTTGAACTCTTCCTAAATACCTTATTGGGAAGCCATGGCTTTGTATTGAAACTCTATATCTTTAACCTTGAGTTTGTTTGTTTGATTGATGCAGATTCCTTTTGAAGACAATTCAGGACATATGCTGACCTTAACCCAATCATTGGGTTTGGAATTTGGATCTGATTATGTCCCTAGTTTACTGGGGAATGAAACTCATAATGCCAGTTCTGAAATTGCTCCTGTCCTATTTAGTTTTTCTGGTGAGCCAAAAGAGCAGCTTGTGCAGCAAAACTATCCAGAACAGCATGCTGATGGACATTCTCAGGATGCACTATCTGCAAATAAAGTTCCTGGTGAAGAAAGTATCAGCTATGCCTTAACTATGAAGCGCACATTATTGGATAGAGATGGTAGCTTGAAGAAGGTTGATAGCTTCTCTCGGTGGATTACTAAAGAACTCGGAGATGTGGATGATTTGAATATGCAGTCCTCATCTGGTATTTCGTGGAGTACAGATGAATGTGGACATGTGATAGATGATACCTCATTGAGCCCATCTCTCTCTCAGGACCAACTGTTTAGCATTATTGATTTTTCGCCTAAATGGGCTTTTGCTGAATCGGAAATTGAGGTACTGATCTCATGGATAATACTTTCAATAATAAAGAAAGACAACAATGGTGAAAAGAAAAGAGAGAAAATTTAGACTTATACTTTGATGTCTGACTCCATTACAATTAAAACATAATTTTTTTCAGCTAACCATGTACTGGTTGTGTGGTTTCCTTCTTTTCCCCTATCCTATACTGGGAATAAGCGATTAGATATGTATTACACATGGTGTTTTCATTGATCATATAAGAGCTTTTTATTTTTAACCTCAGACATCCAATGCTCATCCTGGTAAGATGCATCAGTTTTTGCTCTCTTAATTTTAAATGTTTTCCATTTTGTATTTTATTTGTGTTATTTTTACATCTTGGTATTTCATAATGCACCTTGACAATTTTCCTTCTTCCCTCCCCCCTTTAGTATGCCATATATGATTATTGGTTTTACTCCTTTTTCTATTTGGGTCTCTGTTGCAAGATGAAATGAGAAAGAACTAGGGGTAGTTTGATTGACATCTTTTCCTGTTTAAAACTATACAGGTGTTAATTATTGGATCATTTTTGAAGAGTGAACCGGAGGTGACAACCTGTAACTGGTCCTGTATGTTTGGGGAATTGGAGGTTCCTGCTGAGGTTTTAGCTAATGGAATTCTGTGCTGTCAAGCTCCGCCTCATAAGGTTGGACGGGTCCCTTTCTATGTAACATGTTCCAATAGGTTAGCTTGTAGTGAAGTGCGGGAATTCGATTACAGAGAGGGCTTTTCTGGAAATGTAGATTTTGCAGATTTTTGTAACAGTTCAACTGAAATGCTGCTTCATTCTCGGCTGGAGGAGTTGCTTTCTTTAAAACCAGTGAACCCTTCAAATCAAAACTTTGAGGGTTATATGGAGAAAGGAAAGTTAATTTTTAAGCTTATTTCCCTGAGGGAGGAAGAAGAATATACGAGTAAGGAAGGAGAGCTTATAGAGATGGATATATCGCAACAAAAGGTGAAGGAGCATCTGTTTCACAGGCAGGTTAAGGAGAGGCTGTACTCATGGCTTCTTCACAAAATAACTGAGAGTGATAAAGGGCCAAATGTATTAGATAAGAATGGGCAAGGTGTCCTACATTTAGCAGCTGTTCTTGGTTATGATTGGGCCATAAAACCAATTTTATCCGCTGGAGTTAATATCAACTTCCGTGATGTGAATGGATGGACAGCTCTACATTGGGCGGCATCCTGTGGCAGGTAATAATCCTTGAGATTTTTTTCTCTCTTTATTGCATTTAGTTGATTGAGCATAAATTATGTCTACTAATCTGGTTGAACCTTCCTTCACTATCCTGATATTCTTGATATTTTTAGACTTTCTGAAATAGGGATTTGTTTATGAATTTAGTTTGTCCTAGAATATGAAGCTTATTTAAGTTTCTTCCTGCAAAGGGTAGTAAGAAAATACCAGCGTTTTGCATTACTGGAGTTTTTTTTATTCCCCTTTTTATATTTAAACTGTTTTTTGGTTCAACATCACAGCAATTTTTTTCCTTATGCATGTAAATTAGCTCACTTATCATTAAAGCAATTGCTTTGGTCAGTTAAAGGCAGATCACTGAAGGGTCTATATAATTTATTCTGCTTTCAGCATTAGTTAAAATTGTTATTTTTTGAACTGTTCTCCAATATATTATCATCAGCATAACATAAAGTGTATCCTTATGCTATTCATTGTCCTCCTTTGCTCAGGGAGCGGACAGTTGCTGTCCTTGTCTCCATGGGTGCAGATTCTGGAGCATTGACGGATCCATCTCCAGCATTTCCTTCAGGTAGAACACCTGCAGATCTTGCCTCTAACAATGGGCACAAAGGAATCTCTGGTTTTCTTGCTGAGTCTTCATTAACTAGCCACCTCGAATTCCTCACAATGGATGATCAACATAACGGTGGTAGGGAAGAAATTTCAGGAATAAAAGCAGTGCAGACAGTTTCAGAACGAACTGCAACACCTGTACTCTATGGTGATATGCCAGATGCCCTCTGCCTTAAGGATTCTCTTACTGCTGTCCGCAATGCTACACAAGCTGCTGATCGTATACATCAAGTATTCAGAATGCAGTCATTTCAGAGGAAGCAGTTAACTCAATATGAAGATGATGAGTTTGGATTGTCAGATCAGCTAGCTCTTTCCCTTCTAGCTTCTAAGGCGCATAAATCTGGACAAGGAGACGGTTTAGCCAATGCTGCAGCTGTACAAATACAGAAAAAGTTTCGTGGTTGGAAGAAGAGAAAAGAATTCTTGATCATTCGTCAAAGAATTGTTAAAATCCAGGTTCAATGATCTTCTGTATTTACTTGTGTTTTCATATTTAATATTATGGACCTGGATTGCTGTTAGATGTTCTTAATTTCTCAGCATATCATCCTTTCAAATATTCTGCTACTTTTGAAATTTTGATGGTGCAAAATTGATTATATTGTAGAGTTTGATTGATAAAAACTCAGGGTATGAATGCAAAAATGATTCTGTAAATACATGAGCGTGTACGTGTGGATCACACATTGGATCAGAGACCTTCCCTTTTTCCTGCTTGTTTCTTTGCTCTCTCATTTTTTCTTATCTTATGTCCATGTGCATTTGACAAATGCTTCTACTGACTGTTGAATTTTGTGGTGTTAAGGCCCATGTAAGAGGTCACCAGGTAAGGAAGCAGTATAAAACGATAATCTGGTCTGTGGGAATCCTGGAGAAGGTAATATTACGCTGGAGACGTAAGGGTAGTGGTTTACGTGGATTTCGACCAGAAGCCCTTAATAAGGTCCCCAGTCAAGAAAATGATCCTCCGAAAGAGGATGACTATGATTATCTTAAGGAAGGACGGAAACAAAGTGAGGAAAAGATCCAAAAGGCCCTTTCAAGGGTGAAGTCCATGGTTCAGTATCCAGAGGCACGGGCTCAGTACCGGCGGCTGCTAAATGTTGTCGAGGACTTCCGTCAAACCAAGGTATGGTATTTTCCTAGCATCTGGCAGATGTCTAAACTCATTAATATTTGGCTTAATGATATGCTCATAGTCATTTGTTTTCTGGCAGGCATGTAATATGGGTTTGATTAGTTCTGAAGAGACAGTTGATGGCGTGGAGGATTTGATTGATATTGATATGCTTTTAGATGATGATAATTTCATTCCTATAGCATTTGATTGATTCTCTGCGGGGTTGGCTTTATGTGGCACTGGGTAAGTCCTAACATCGCCTTGATGTATATATTTCTAATCAAAATTACTTGGATCTAAGGCTGATTATAAATAGATTATGATAGCTAGCATGCATTCTGGTTTGACAGTTAAGATATTGTAATCTAATGAGACATGGTTCCATTTTATTTATGGTGATTTTTATATGCCAGGATGATTCTGTTTATAATTGGTTAGGGGTTATAGCATAATGGTGTACTGTGTAACTGCAATTTGTACAAAAGTCGACTCTGGCGAGAGGAATTATAAACAAGTGCAAATTATGATATCGAGCTTTTTGTACCGCTTACATTTGATTTCTTTTTTTTTCTTTTTTTAGTTCTTCTGCAACTTTGTATGTCAGCTTAGTCATAGCTTCCCCATTTATCTTGAAGTTCTCCATTTTAGATTCTGTACTATTGCGTTGTAGAGGATGCTACCGTATGTTTATCATGAATTTCCTTCTACCCATCATGTATGTATATTCATTATTCACATTGTCTCGGACTATCTCCTTTGCTCTTTCTCCTGCACGGTTGCAACGTACTAGGTTTTGTTCGTGATCATCGCATAACTTGTGAGAATTTAACAGTTTCAATTAGAAAGACTTTATAATACAGTCCACTTGGGAAATTTCTCAGTAATACTAATTATGGAACTTATTATTGTTTCATTCTTTTGTATATCCAACACTTGTCTTTGGCCTGTTGGTCAAGAGTGCGTTAAATGATCATAAACCTACCAAATGAAAGATGTTGATGTATACGAACTACGTAGGATGGTGCCATCGTGAAATAAATTCATAAATAAGAAATTTGTTCGTACTTAGGATTGACAAAATATTAAACAAAAATCTATATTTATCACGATAATTACCATACAAAAATTATCACGATAATTTACATAAAAATTAAAGACATATCATATCAATATAATGAACATGCAAAAAAGAAAATAAACAATTAAATAATACATGTACGATATTTATCACATATATGTTATTAAACACAAATACGATAATTCTAAATTACAAAATTCTAAATTTTCTTAAATATAAATTATAATATATATATATATATATAGGGATAGGATTAGGATCATCCGTTGATTTTCGTCAATCAACAGTTATCATTTATTGGGAATTACACTTATTAATTAATTATTAATTTCAATAAATGATAACCGTTGATTGACGGAAATCAACGATTGGAATTTAGTGTCAAATTTCAAAATTTGACACCGGTGTCAAATGATCCTGCCCCATATATATATATATATATATATATATATATATATATATATATATATATATAACAACATAATTTGCAGCAAAGTAAACTACTGAAATATAAATTGTTGTTTCTAAAGCACCGAATATCATGCCTGACCAAATTAGAAATTGAGGACTGTCATGAATTTTACGGACAGATAAAAAGGAACACTTCATTACTAGTTTGAGCAAATTAAACTAGTTTTACCACACAATCCATTTTGCTAGCTATTCCTTCCACCAAACACTGCATAGATAATTAATCCATATATATATATATATATATATAGTGCCAAGGGGAGTTGACCCCTTTCATGTTTATAATAATACACACATGCCAAGGGGAGTTGACCCCTTTCATGTTTATAATAATACACACATCAACTATAATATATTTATGTCTTAGTTGCTTCTTCTTTTTTGAATTGGAAGTCTTATTCATTATCCATTTTCTAATGTTTATTGTAAAAAATCATCAACTAAGTTAAGTGTATAACATTATATGTCATATACTCATGCGAGGTGATGTTATCCAACATGTAACGTGCCGGTCGGTGCCGTTTTATTATGAAAATGGAACCTGTTACAGTCGGTGCGTTTTATTATGACAATAGTTATCCTACATACATGTAAATTTCACTGGTTATTTAAATTAACGTATATTTTTTATTGTACCAAAAAGAAAAAAAAGAAAATTTGGTTGAGCTGCATTTGATTGTCTTTTTGTTCATCTTTGATCTTTCTTCTGGCTTAAAAGTTTAAACTTAAACTGAAATTCCATAACTTTGGGTGAGATGCTTGTTGGGGGACCAAGGTCCAAGGGTGAGTGCTGCAGGGCCACATGGTTGATCAAATACCTCTACTATTGTCTATTGTTAATTTGACCATTCAGCTTTTACTGTTGTATACACTTACTGGTGGACCTGTCTTAGAATTTAGAACAAAAAACAAAACAAAAATAAATAATTTCTGACTTTGTCAGATATTGTCAGCAGTGTCTATTATCTATTCCTTACAATTTAACTTCATCCTCCAAAGATTCCTTGTACTGTTATTGAAATCGATCACACTAGCCACTCAAACTGGTTTCACTGAGAACTACATTAGTAATCTGAAAACTGTTAATTTGGTTCTAAACTAACTTAAATCGGCAGTAAATTGACATCAGTTCTATGGGTTAAACTAATTGTTGAATTTGTCAAAATTTTGAGAGACAATTTAATATGTAGCATTGAAACATTTTCTATTATTATTATTATTATTATTAAATTTAACTTACATAACTATTAAATTATTAGTTAAGTCAATTATCATTGATTCAATATCAAATTATTATGTTTTATGTTTTACTATTTTATTTTATTTTTAAATTGAAAATTATTAAAAATATAGAATACAAATATGAATATTTATAATATTTCATTTAAATTAGTAATAATAATTTGGCTATTTGTTTAATTCTCACTTTTATACTATCTATTAATTAATATTAATTGTTCAGAACAATTTTACCTACCTCTACAAGTGATTTGATGTAGTTTTAATCTATAAATATTCACTGGAACAAGATAAAAAGTGTACTTGCAAAATATTCCGATATTTAAGTCAATTTTTTTATAAATAAGTTTATTTGTATTGAAGTTTTAGCACAATTATATATAGTTAAAGGATGATCAGCTTTGAAGAATATACCTTATTGTTGCCAACAAGTGATGAAGCAGCAAAGTCATTCAATTGTTTGTAGTATAGGTGCCTTGAGATAGCTTTTGTAGAAGAGTTGAAAAAGTAATATGGCAAAGATATAGTGCAACTTTTGTTGACTAAAACCCTTCTTGAATATGCTTTCTTCACGGTGAAATCTTTAAATATGGGTTTTAATATAGGGTTTTATAAGAGTTATGTTGTAGGAAAAATGATTGTGTTATGTTATAGAGATTCGTTTTGCGTGCCGAAGTTTTTTTTCTTTTTTTTGCTGCGGGCCCCACAAAATGTTGTGTGTGTAGGAAAATTTTTGTGGTCATGTTAAATGATAGATGATAAACCCTTTAATATATTATTCCAAATCATTAATATAAATATTTATTAATTTATGATGCGTACATAACTATTAATTATAAATATTAATATGTAAAACTATATATAAAAAAAAAAGAATCAAATAACATAATACCCGAATCAAACATAGGGGAATTTAATAACATTTATTCCATGCCTTCAAAGTTGCAGACTTTTGTATTCTTCGTTCTGGCAATTGGCATTTAATGTCTTGTTTGAAGAAAATAAAATAAATAAAAATTTAAAGATTAAACCCATGACACTTTTTTGTCATCAGTCTCTATGCTCAGAGATGCCAAGACAGTTAATGTCCTGTCTGAGAATTCTAACCTGCACGTTGACTTATTTAATGGATATCCAATTGTCTCTTACTATCCTAAAGACAAAAAAAACTATTTAAGTTTAAGCACAAAGCAAAAGTTTTTAATTTTATGGGTTCGATTTTTGTCATGTCATATGACAAGATTATTTTTCTGCACACACAAATTAAGTGTGGGTCCCACGCTTAAAAAAAAAATCAAACCAAAATCAGGATACACGTTGCCAGATCCTTGTTGCAGAAATATAATACTTATATTTCCCTAATTTTATACACTGGCTTAAGCAAGTAAACAGAGCAAAGGTTTTTGTAAATAAACTTGTTTTATTTATTACCTTTTGGTTGAGGAGAGGAGAGGAGAGAATTATAGTAGCAAGCAAGAGAGTTTGTGAGGCTTGAAAGTTATGCTGACTTTTGAAGTCTCACCAATCCATAAGTCCCCACCCATTGGCTGTTTATAGGAACTATGAAACCTCAGAACAGCTGGAATAATCAAAACAAAAGTGTGTCAGCATAGCAAATAAAAAACAAACATAAAACTGCAAAGTCAATAAGGGCAAGCTATGCCTTTTGGCAGCCATTGCATTGCAAACAAGACTTTCTCAACAAACACCAGACGGTTACATTACACCCCATCATCAATTTTATTCTTTCCTTTTAATAACCTCTTTCTATCATAAGAGGCTCTTTTGCTATAAGCTTTCTCTGTTCTCAGTCTCTCTCTTCTTCTTTTTTCATCTCCCACAGAGGACGGCAGAATCGGTGACTACCCACTTCCTGTATTAATCTCTCGTCTCATTTTCTTGGGAAAAGTTGAAATTTTTGGATTGATTAGTGAATTTCTTTGTCAGTTGATCATCTTGGTATTGAAAAAAAATTTCCCTTTCCTTTTTTTTTCGCCCTTTCCTTTTTGGGGAGGGTTGTTCTGGATGTCAGAATTGCTTGCTTGAGTGATCAGAAAATTTTATTGATAATTCACAAATCTTGGAAAGTTGTGGAGTTTCTCTGACGTCAAGTTTTTGTGAAATTTTCGGTTTTGAAGATTAGCAGAAGAGTTAGATGTTGAGTGATATGCGGAAAAGGTAAGGCGGGGTTGAATTATATGGATCGTCTCTGTTGCTTCAAACCTGCCAGTGCCACTCAGGTGAGGATTTCTGGCCTCTTTTATTAAAAAAATTTCTTTGATTTTTGGAATAATCAATCTCCATGCGTATACAATTCCATAATGATTTAGGAGATTTTTGTGTATATTGGAATGGCCTAGGAGGAATATGACCTAGTTAGATGCAGCGGTTATCTATTTAAGTATTGAGTTCTGGTGGTGCAGTGAATGGCTCAGTACTGTCCCAAATTTTAATTTTCTAAGCTTGCTTGATGAAGAAAATTGAAACATAAGGATTATTTTTGTGCTTGTATAGCCAGCAGTAACCTCTGAACAGTGGCAGATACTGACTGAGGGCAACACGGATATGAGTAGAGACTTGGATAATAACTAAACTTGAGCTTGTGCTCTTCCTTTGGTGCTTTAAGGCGGCTTCATTGATGTGATTATCTATGAGATGCCAAGCTAAATACTGGTATTGTTTCTTGACGTGAGTTTGGTACTTTAATATGCTGAAGGTAGTTTGAGCATTCAGCATTGGTCTTTCTGCAGCAAGCTAGTTTTGTGAGATAAGGCTCATATCAAATGGTTGCTTTTAAATACCAAAGCTGTCTAATTATCTGCTTTTGACCCTTGGATGTTTGATGAGTGGGTTTCAGTCTACTTTTATCTCCGTTTGGTGCCCTTTATTTTATTGTGGTTGTTGGTGCTGATAGATAATATTCTAGTGTGGTGCCATTTTAAGTTTTTGACTCCTTAACTAGATGGAATTATCTAGTTGGGAGTGCGTTTCTCTGTTTTATTTCTGTATGTGACTTTTATTTAGACAACTTCATATTTCCTTGCATTACGTTTATGTTATGTGCCCTTTGGTAATCAACCATGTACCTCCCCCTCCCCCCACAACATTTGATATTTCTTTTACTAATATGTTAAACAATAGATTCTTTTGTTATTGTATTTTAACATGCATAATTTTAGGTATCTAACTCTGGCAACGGCAAGAGCCATATGGGCCCAGTTAAGTATGGCTTTAGCCTCGTTAAAGGGAAAGCAAACCACCCGATGGAGGACTATCATGTAGCAAAATTTGTCCAGTTCAGAGGGCAAGAGTTAGGACTTTTTGCTATATATGATGGACACTTGGGAGACACTGTGCCAACCTATTTACAAAGGCATCTCTTTTCTAATATCTTGAAGGAAGTGAGTTGTTGAGCCAAACTAAAGATATCATCTACTGATTCTTACCTTAATCACATTTGATTCCTCAGGAAAAGATTTTCCGTTCTTTTTTGTTATATATTGCATATAGTATGAAAATTTTCTTTTGTTCCCAGCTTCCCATGCTTTATTTTGATCAATATCAACTGAATGTAATGTAATCCAGTTTAACTTTTTGATGTCTTGATAAACTTTGTAAAGCCTCTTTCTTGTCAGAAAAACTTATACTGTGGTCTATTTTGCATTTTTAATCTTTGTGATGCCTTTTGCATAATAATTGGAAATTGCACTCTTAAATTACTGTTGATTATTCCAGGATGACTTCTGGACTGATCCAAACAGTTGCATCGTTAGAGCTTATGAGACAACAGATCAGGCCATTCTTTCTCACAGTCCTGATTTGGGGCGAGGAGGATCGACTGCAGTGACTGCAATTCTTATAAATAATCAGAAGTTATGGATAGCAAATGTTGGAGATTCACGAGCAGTTCTGTCAAGGAGAGGGGTGGCTATACAGATGACTGTTGATCATGAGCCCAATACTGAAAGGGGTATCATAGAGAACAAAGGCGGCTTTGTCTCAAACATGCCAGGTTCTTTTATAAACCTTAATGAGTTAATGTCTATAAGATATTTTTACATGTTCAATGCCAGATGTATCGTTTCATTGTATGAGATTTCAATAATGTCATGAGCTCGGTAAGGGTATTTATGCATCATGAGTCTCATTTGCATTTTCGAAGAGGAATGAAAACGGAGGAGAGACGACACATCTTTCTTTGTTTATAGAAACAATTTTGCTAACATCAGGTTGAAGGCTTATGCTACAATGGAGATTAACTTTCCTTTGTTGATCAAAATTTGTGGATATATTTGTTGAAATTCATTCTTTGTATCTCTTTATGGTCCATGAGGCTTGTATATGATAACTACCAATTATATAACAATCTTGTAAGTAAAATTACCACTTGTGCGCGTGACTTACATTTATTAGAAAAGTGAAGGATAGGTTCAATAAAAGTTGAAAAACCATCCTCTTTGTGTTGTTAAGATTTGCCGGTTATACACTTATAATAGTTAAATAGAAGAGTATTTCTTGCCTTCCCCTTTTGTATCCAAAATATGTAGGAATTGTACATATTTAGTGTCCAATCCTAAGAAAGCTGAAGTTTATTCAAATCAATTATCTATTTTAGTTGTCATAGTGCCACTGCTACCATTTTGATTTAAAATATGATTGAACCCTGTTTTATAGCAAAAGAATATACTGTCCATTAGGTCGCTAAGGGTTTTGCATGTTTGCGTCACTACAATTTCTAGACTTGTGCGTGAGTTAAAAGTTTCAGCAATAAAACCTTTTTAAATGTAAAAAAAGAGATAAAGTGAAGGGGATTAACATGATTTTGGCAAGGTACTTCCCTGACGCCTTTAAGCAAAGCTATAAGCATTGCTTTTTGTGCTTTTCCAAAAACAACTTTTGCTTGTCCTATGCAAAAACAAGCGATGTAGGACAATACAAGAGTACTCTTCTTGGTAGGTTACTCCCATGCTAAATAGAATACTCTTGTAAGTCACAATGTTCCTCTAACTCAAGTTTCAGATACTCTTTAAATGAAAGGAATTCATGGACCAAATAGGAATCCATGTTTGGTTCTAATTTGTAAAATGCTATCAATGGGACATGCTACTCATTTTTACTATAATCACTTTGTGCAATACCTCCGAGCTTCACTTGTATAGAGTATAGTTCTCCAGTGAGTATCTGTTGCATTACCAACCCTAATAAGCAATTACTATATGCTATCACCTACGTTAACATAGGTGTCATTCTGCTTCCTTTTTTTATTTTATTTTATTTAGAGAGTAAAGAAAGAGTTGAATGAATCGTTTTAGAAATTTAAGTAACAATATAATATAACTAACCACAACTTCCTACACTACTTAGGATAAGGTTTACATAGCTGGGATAATAAACCCAACACCAAACCCAAGTTTTGGCATGTTAATATAGAGGTATATTTCCAACATTAATGTGGGTCCTTTTTGTTTTGTTGAGTGTTGTGTATTTTGTAATTAGTTTCTTCACTTGTGCGGATGTTATATCAGGTGATGTAGCAAGAGTGAATGGTCAGCTTGCAGTTGCACGAGCATTCGGAGACAAGAACCTAAAATCACACTTGAGATCTGATCCTGACGTACAACATGATGATATTGACCCTGAGACTGAACTTTTAATACTTGCTAGTGATGGTCTATGGAAGGTTATCCATGAACCTCTCTTTATGTCAATTATTCCTTCAAAACATGTATATTTTTTGCACTTAAATTTCATTGATTCTGTTCCAGGTAATGGCAAACCAAGAGGCTGTTGATATTGCAATAAGGATAAAAGACCCACAAAAAGCAGCCAAACAACTAGCTGCTGAGGCATTGGACAGAGAGAGTAAGGATGATATTTCCTGCATTGTTGTTCGTTTCAAGGGATGAATAAGGGAACATAAGTAACCCCTGAATTTTCTGGATATTCATTCTCTATCATCACTTTGACTATTTTTGGGATGCATGCAAGTCCCTACTACCCTCCCTGCCTTTTGTTTTGATGTCTCATGATATCCATTTTCTGTTTGGAATTTTCTACAACATAGGTTTTGTCCCTTTCCCTCTAAAAATGGAAGCTCTTTAAATTAGGTGTTGCCATTTAGTATTTCTTGATTTCTTTGTGTAGGTCTATACCATCATTTTTCTTTGTAATTTGCATTATGAAAACGGAGCAGTGTGAAGATGAACATAGATTTTACATTCAACATTGGAATTATGCGTTTGTTATAAACACAATGTATGGTTTACTTGAAATGGCCCTAGCTTCAGCGCCTTAATCTCCGGCTATAATTCAACAGATTATAGTAATTGTTCAAGACTTTTTTCTTTTCTTTTTTGTTACTGATGTATATTTGATAGTTATTTTAACTTGATTTCTGTTTATATCATTCAGTTACTTGAACTAAATATACATGACATTTGAACATACTTTCTTTTATTTAGAATTTCACATTTAAAATCTCTTTGAAAATTTAAACTGAATATAATTATTAATTTGTCAACTTTACTTGATTTATTTTATTTTTGATTAGAGACAAATCGAATAACTATCTCACTGTTTGTAACTTACGAAACACAAAATCAAGTTTTTGACTTTGAGATATAATATTCTGAATAGTAGTTATTTCATTGGGGAATGTAAAAAAAATAAAACTGCACGTCTATTTTCATTTTCGGTTTTTCTTGCTGATCTACATGCCTGTCCATTATCATCAAAATATGAAGAAGAAGAAGAAAAAAATGAGCCTTGATAATATGATTTTCTGGGTAACAGTTAAAACATGATATTCTTAGTAACAGTTAATAACATTTTGCTTGTCTGTATTTTGGATGCTTTGAAAGCCTTTTTTAAGTTTAATGAAAAAAAGAAGAAGCTATATTTAATGATTGAGTGCATGCTGAGAATACATTTTTTTCATATGAAAATTTTAGGTAACTTTATCTTTTGTGTGCATCTTTTCATTCAAAATTTGTAAATATAAAAAGGATAAAAAGAAAATTTTATTTTTGACCTCACACATACTAAATAACACTTCTTGTCCCCTTCTTAATTATTTCATTTTGTTCTCACTCTATTATTAATAAAAATAAATTTCATTAATAACTCAATAATATAAATTTTTAATGAAATTTCATTGAAGTTTCGAGTCCGAATCCATCTTTATACTTTTATCTTTTTTAGCTTAATTTATTCTAATTTTTCCTCTAAAAGAGATTAATCTATTATTTGATAGGTTTTATATATGTCATGTTGTAAGATACTTGTAGTGTCATGTTACTCTAATATATTTGTTGTGGGTTTCACTCAAAAAGAAAGAAGAAAAAATAAAACAACGTGGGGCCATCACTTTTTGTGAGAGTAACATGGCACTACAAGTTTCCTACAACATGATATACATAAAACCCTTATTTGATTGGACTCTAATCCTCTACACCCCTTTTAAAGAAATTCAAATCCACCAATTGAGCACAAAAAGTCAAAATCTGATACATATTTTCGCAATTAAAAATTTAGCCAATTATCAATCAATGTGAGACTTATTATACTTGAATATCTCAACAATCTACTTGAATATCTCAACAATCTGCCCCTCAAGTATGAAACTCAACATCGATATACTCTCCTTCAACCGAGTACCCCAAGTCCAAAATACTCAACCCGCCTCCTGGGCGCCAATCTCCAGGAACAGTGACCAAAATGTCATTGTTCATCAAGTTTTTTACCCAAATGTCACGCGAACAGTGGTATTTTCTAATATGCCACATGGGCAAATTCGCTGGGCATTGTAGCGAACTCGGTTTGCTAACGTGTCACGTTTCTAGTGGAGACAAGTACCAAGTTCGCTACTGGGGGTAGCGAACTTGGTTGGAATGTCATGTTTCCCAATTATGCATTCTAACCAAGTTCGCTACCCCTAGTAGCGAACTTGGTACTTGTGTCCACTAAAAACGTGACATGTCAGCAAATTGAGTTCGCTACAGTACCCAACGAACTTGCCCACGTGGCATATTGGGAAATAACACTTTTCGCGTGACATTTGGGAAAAAAGACTTAGTGAACAATGGCATTTTGGTCGGTGTTCCCCAATCTCCATGCTACCTCGAGTCTAACCCGACTTTGATACCACTATCAGGCAGGTCCAAGGAGGAGCTCGTGGCAAGAGACAACCACCAATGGGCTAAGCTAGGCTAACCACACTAAATGGATTCAATACCATGTCACAACCCAAAACCGTAAGGCATTGAGTTCATGGATCCTCCCACTTATATACATTTCAATTAGCCCATTACCAGTCAATGTGAGACTCATCTTACTTGAATATATCAATAATCTCCCCCTCAAGTATGAACCCAACATTGGTATACTCCCCTTCAACCGAGTATCCCAAATCCAAAGTACTCAATCATCCTCCTTAGCGTCAATCACTAGGCTAGCTCGAGCCCAACCCAACTCTGATACCACTATAAGGTGGGTCTAAGAGGAGATCGTGGCGGGGGACAACCACCAATGGGCTAAGTTATGCCAACCACACCAAGTGGGTTCGACACCATGTCACAACCAAAAACCTTAAGGTATTGGTCATGGGTCCTCTCACTTATATTCACTTCACTTAGCCCATTACCAATCAATGTGAAACTCGTCATACTTGAATATCTCAACAATCTCCCCCTCAAGTGTGAAACCCAATATTGATATACTCCCCTTCAACAGAGTACCTCAGGCCCAAAGTACTCAACCCACCTTATAAGTGCCAATCACAAAGCTAGCTCGAGCCCAACTCGACTTTGATACCATTGTCAGGCGGGTCTAGGGAGAAGCCCATGGCGAGGAACCACCACCAATAGGCTACGCTAGACCAACCATACTAAGTGGGTTCGACACCATGCCACAACCTAAAATCTTAAGGCATTGGATTCATAGATCCTCTCACTTATATACACTTGACTTAACCTATTACCAACCAATGTATGATTCATAATACTTGAATATCTCAACAATTTTCCCCTCAAGTGTGAAACCCAATATTGGTATACTTCCCTTCGATCGAGTACCTCAGGCCCAAAGTACTCGACCCGCATCACAAGCGTCAATCACCAAGCTAGCTCGAGCCCAACTCGACTTTGATACCACTCTCAGGCGAGTCTAGGGAGAAGCCATGGTCGGAAACCACCACCAATGGGTTAAGCTAGACCAACCATACCAAGTGGGTTCGACACCATGTCACAACCCAAAACCTTAAGGTATTGGGTTCATGGTCCTTTCACTTATATACACTTGACTTAGCTCATTACCAATCAATGTGAGATTTATCATACTTGAATATCTCAACAATCTTTCCCTTAAGTGTGAAACCCAACATTGTTATACTCCTCTTAAACCGAATACCCTAGGCCCAAAGTACTTAACCCTCCTTCTAGCCAAACACCTGGCTAGTTTGAGCCCAATCTGACTTTGATACCACTGTCAGGTAGTCCAAGAAGAGCCCATGGCGGTGGTTCCCTTCCATGGCAATGCTTACTAAACTTTCCCTTGGATACATTTACGATTCAATACACCATTAGTGTAATGGTTATAGAATACATCAAAGGTTTGCAAAAATAAAGAGTCACATGTTATGAACCATGTGAAAGGTCATCCATAATCTATGCGAAGTGTCATTCATAATATTTTACAATACTCTCCCTTGGATGTATTCTACGATACAACACATCATAAATGTGATGGTCATAGAGTACATCAAAGATCATAAAAAACAAATAGGCACGTGTTATGAACCATACGAAAAGTCATCCATAATTCATGCGAAAGGTCATTCATAATATTTTACAACACTCCCCTTGGATGTATTCTACGATTCAGCACACCATTAGTGTGATGGTTATATAATATATCAAAAGTCTTAAAAACAAAGAGTTACATGTTATGAACCATGTGAAAAGTCATCCATAATCCATGCGAAAGGTCATTCATAATATTTTACAACATTCTCCCTTGGATGTATTCTACGATTCAACACACCATTAGTGTGATGATTATAGAATAATCAAAGGTCATAAAAACAAAGAGTTACATGTTATGAACTATGTGAAAGGTCATCTATAATCCATGCGAAAGGTCATTTATAATATTTTACATCATTCCTCCTTGGATGTATTCTACTATTCAACACACCATTGATGTGATGGTTATAGAATATATCAAAAGTCTTAAAACAAAGAGTTACATGTTATGAACCATGTGAAAGGTCATCCATAATCCATAAGAAAGATCATTCATAATATTTTACAACACTCCCCCTTGGATGTGTTTACGATTCAACACAACATTAGTGTGATGATTATAGAATATATCAAAGGTCATAAAAACAAAGAGTTACATGTTATGAACCGTGTGAAAGGTCATCCATAATCCATGCGAAAGGTCATTTATAATATTTTACAACACGTCCCCTTGGATGTATTCTACGATTCAACACACCATTAGTGTGATGGTTTTAGAATACATCAAAAGGGTCATGAAAAACATAGAGTCACATGTTATGAACCATCTAAAAGGTCATCCATAATCCATGCGAAAGGTCATCCATGATGGTTGTAGAATACATCAAAGGTCATGAAAAATAAAGAGTCACATGTTATGAACCATGTGAAAAGTCATTCATAATCTATGCGAAAGGTCATGCATGATGGTTGTAGAATACATCAAAGGTCATGAAAAACAAAGAGTTACATGTTATGAATCATGTGAAAGGTCATCCATAATTCATGCAAAAGGTCATCCTTTATATGAGTGATTAATTTATATCTTTTAAAAGGATAAATTTTATTCCCTTTAATTTAAAAAGAATTTCCATGCATTGCATTCAAAGAAACGAGTGATTAATTTAATTTTTAAAATATAATTGAGTCCTACTTAAATACATATTGTTCTGCCGAGCTACTTTTATGGTTATTTTCTTTTATATTTCTATTTTTTTTTTGATAAAGATGTACCTACTCTCATTATATCGAAAATTTGTTTCCTCTTTGTCTAAATTCATAACTTAATCTTGTGGTTATTAGGTTCTACATAGCTATGAATAGCTATTTCTCATATTGTTATGGTTATAATTTTCAACAATGACCTCGAACTCATCATTTTATCCCACTATTTTCAGATTTCATACATATTCAAAAGTTGATATTCAAAAAGTTGAAGAGTTCTTCATTTTTCCTGCTAAAAATAAAAAACAACCAAAAAGCTGTTAGAATTGATCTAATGATAAAAAACTTAGGGGAAATAGAAGTATAATGTTATAGGAAAGTGTTTAGGTTAGTGTGTGTAGTGTTTAGTGGGTGTGTGAGTTGCAGTTCTATTCCCTTATAATTCAAAAAAAAAAAAAAATAGAAATTGTGGGACCCACACTTGTTTTCAAAAATAAAAAAAAATAAAAAAATGTGGGTTCACAATCTCTATCTCTATAAGATAACCTAAACACGAATAAATCTTTGGTGCTACTGTTGCACCAAATATTCAGTACATCCCATCAATAGAAATATTACATGCGAGCTAAATTTTTTTTTCTACCAAATTTTTTCTCGCTCCTATGATGTGTAATGCTCCCATTGATGAAATGCACTGAATCTTGGTACAACAGTAACACCAAAGATTTATTCCCTAAACACTTTCCTACAACATTGTACTTGTATTTCCCAAACTTAAATAATTTATATGAGATTGTTGATTCAAATTTCATTACTCTCGTGATGTAAAACAAAAAAAAACTAGTCACGCCTCAAGATGTCATAGACACAAAGTAACACAAACTTGGACTTGGTCATTAAACATTTAACATAAAAGATATTTGAAGAGTTGCGATATAATAAATAAAATATATATAAAAAAAGGAATGCATTTGTCATGTTACATGACAAATGAATAGTTGTTATGTTAAGAAAAAGACAAGATAAATTCATTGAATAATGTGTCCTCTCATTTTTTTAATATTATATAATTTGTCTTTTTCTTAACATAACAACTATTCATTTCTCATGTAACATGATAAATGCTTTTCCCATTAAAAAAAGCCGTATACATTGAATGGGAATTTAGCTAGATTCGCGCGGCTGCTCTTTCACATTCCTGAAAATTCATTTCGGAGCGGCGCACGATAGCATTTATTAACAAGAGGAAGCACTTTCTCTCTCTAAAACCCTGTCCCTTTCTCTCTCCTAGATCGTGATCATGTCTGAAACATTGAAGCGCATCAAGGACAATGCCTCCAACCCTAAACTCTGGTTGCTTATCGGAATTGGAGTCGCCGGCGTGGTCGTTCTGGCGGAGACGCAACGGTTGCGGCGGCGGCGGAGGAAGAAGTGCGTAAAAGAAGACTTTGGTGCTTTTGTTGAGCGTTTTGAGCTGCTTCCCTTCCCTCAGCTTCCGCCACCCAACCAAAAGCAAATGCTCTCTTCTCTAACCTTTGCCATAAAGGACATGTTCGTTTCTTTCTAATTATTATTGTCATTTTGCTTCAATTTTCGATGTAATTGATTTTATGATGATGATGATTAAATTTGTGTTGTTGGGATTATCAGATTTGATGTGAAGGGGTATGTGACTGGGTTTGGGAATCCTGATTGGAAGAGGACGCACGAGGAAGCTGGCAAGACTGCCATTGTACTCACTGCTCTGCTCAGCAATGGCGCTACTTGTGTTGGCAAGACTGTTATGGATGAATTCTCTTTTGGGTAATCAATGCTTTTTTGCTTTCTTGTGTTGTGTTTTCAATTACAGATTTAAAACTGATTTATTTTATACGTGATGTGATGATTGGATGGCATTGCAGGATTTCTGGTGAGAATAAGTATTATGGAACACCAACCAATCCTCAAATGCCCTCGTGTATCCCGGGAGGTTCTTCCAGTGGTTCGGCTGTAGCAGTTGCTGCTGCCCTCGTTGACTTTGCTATTGGTGAGTTTACTTGGTTGTCACTTACATATGATTTCATTCATTCTAAAATGCTACTATGTCAATTTGTTCATGTTTTTGTCACTTATCGGCCTGCCATTTTGACCTCTTTCTTGTGTAGGAAATTACTATTGTTCTTATGTTAAACTGTATTCCTGGAATTTACTTATTTTTGTGTGTATGTTTTTTTTTTTTTTTTTGGGGGGGGGGGGGGGGGTTGTCACTCAGTTTAAGTCATTTTTACTATTAATTAACATATTCACAACTATTCCTTAAAAGTAATATTTCCCTCACGTATAAATCAATTTTCTACAAAAACAGGCTGCATCTGACAATTTTCAAGTGTTTGGATTGAAATTGATGTTTTGAATTTTAATTTAGTTAGTAAGAATTACACGGCTGCTTCATTTGGTTGCTGAGAGAAAGGAGGAGGATGCAAAGATAATTTGAAATCATAACGCTACCTCTTCAACCAAAGCAGCTGTAAGATTCAAATTTTTGAATTCATTTAATCTTCTTAAAGTTGGTTTATATGATTCATGTATTAATATATTTTTTTAACTTTTATTTTAATATCTCATAATAAAAAAAACTATATACAGTCTTCTGCCTTATATCTAATTGTAAATCTTATTCAGTGATGAAATGAATTTTAGTTTGCTGATATTGATTGAAAATTCAGTTCATGCTTGTTGTGATCTATACATTGTGATAGTTGCTTAAATTTCAGGATACCAACTCTTAGTTTATTATTGTGATCTCTTTCATGTATTATTGCAGCATGGCTTGCCATGCCTAGTCTGTTTCTTTCTTATCCGTAATAGGCTCAATGGGCACTTATAAGAATATGAAAAAATATTGTGTTTTTGTAGGTACTGATACCACAGGATGTGTGAGAATTCCAGCAGCATTCTGTGGTATTCTTGGGTTTCGACCATCTCATGGGGTTGTCTCCACCATTGGAGTTATTCCAAACTCACAAAGCTTGGACACTGTTGGTATGATGCGTAATCATGTGATTTTGTTGCTATGCTTTTGATTTTGTCAAATATTATGAGGTTATATTCCTTAGAACTATTCACATATATGTTTAATCTCTTTTTAATCATTGAATTCTGCATCGTCTTTTCCTTGTTACTAGTTTTATATGGAGAAAGTTGAGAAATAGATAAATAGGTTAATAAATTTAACAAAATAAAGTTGGTAGTGCTTTCTACAGTTTGACATGTTTATTTGTTGCACATATGCCCAAGGTTTTGGCCCACCATCCCAGTTTAATATATAATTACCTCAATTAGCTACTACTACTCACTGTTGAATTGGGACTCTATTTTTGCTCTTGTTTTTTGCACAAATTGTTTTAATCTTTTTCTTTGATTGTTTATTTCTTTATTGCATAATAACATTGTAGGATGGTTTGCTCGAGATCCATCTGTCCTACATCGTGTTGGACATGTTTTACTTCAATTGAATTCAGTGGAGCCCAAAAGGACAAGGCGTATTATGTTTGCTGATGATCTTTTTCAATTATCTAAAGTTCCTACACAGAAGACGGTATATGTTATTGGCAAAGCTATTGAGAATTTGTCTGATTGTAAGTTTCCAGTCCTTTGAAGACCAATCTGTGATGCTCTCATACATGTTTAATAAAATTGTGTATGGTTGATTGTTAAGTAAGTGGGTAGAGAAACTCTGAATGTCTAGACTAGAAGAAAAGGAAGTTTGTGTGTATTATTAACTATGAAGTATGAAGTGTTTTGGTCCTTTTGGTTTTGCAGATCAGTCTCCGAAGCATATGAATCTTTGCCAGTATATTGCTTCTAATGTGCCCAGTCTAAAGGGGTTTCGTGAACAATTAACAGACCAACAAAATGGAGCATCTGTATTGAAAGCTCTCACTACAGTTATGTTTTCGCTACAAGGGTATTCTCATATATCCTTTAATGTTTTATCTTCATGTTTTCATATGGTTGATGATCAATCATATCCACCGAACTAGCTAAAGGGAGGCCTTACCTAGTGAACTGCCTTCCTTACCGCTCATGGGGCTTTACAAGGGCTAATTTTATCACATCTCCTTTTAGTTTTCTGTTGAGTGCTTTATATTTATTTTATAACCCTGTATTTGCATTTTGCATCTGTTCTTCAGATATGAATTCAAAACCAATCATGAAGAATGGGTTAAATCTGTCAAACCCAAGTTAGGCCGTGGTGTGTCTGATCGTGTTAGGGCAGCCATTACTACTACACAGGATAATATAAAAGCCTTGTATAAAGTCAGAACTGAAATGATTAGTGCTTTTCATTGTCTATTAAAGGTACTGTAATATCCATAGTTATTTCGTCAGTAATGCTCTAGTGTAATGTTATCAAATTTCAAATGGTGTTAAAGTTACTACAACAAAATGGAAAAAGGAGATGAGAAAAAAGGACTAATAAGCTGTTACTTTCCTTTCCCATTTGGATTGTTTGGTATTGAAATCAACTTTTCTTATCTTTTTATAGAAAAGATTAGGGAAAACTGGAAAATAGAGATTAGTAGTCCAGTGTAGTATTAAGTTTTCATATAAGTAAGAAGTGTTATGTCTAAACTTCTAACATGGAACTTCGTTACCTATACTGGAAGATAACCTAGATCTCTGATTATATTATGAAATGGAAAATAATATTTGTTAAGTTTACTGTATGTGTCCATGCTAGGCTCTTACCTCCTCTGTTTTGATGTCCCACAGGATGATGGAATACTAGTTATTCCCACTGTTGCAGACAATCCATTAAAGCTTCATACAGAAAAAGGGTTTTCTTCTGAGTTCCATGACAGAACTTTTGCATTATCTAGCATTGCTAGTATCTCTGGATGTTGTCAGGTAATTTGATATCTTTTAGGCTCTGGAGATCTTTTTCCTCTTCTCAGTTTCTATTTATTGTTCTGAAACTTTGGTTGATTTTGTTATTGGCTTTCACATCGTTTACAGGTTGCAATTCCGTTAGGATGTCACAATGATTGTTGTGTTTCTGTTTCGTTCATCTCAATGCGTGGAGCTGATAAATTTCTTCTTGATACGGTCTTGGATATGTATACAACTCTTCAAGAGCAAGTTAGTGTTGCTTCCTATGCTTCGCCACTACCGGATACCAATGGTTATTTGGAAACTTCTGAACTTTTGAAGGAGAAGGTTAGTACTCTCTTAACATTTTGTCTGTCAGGATCCATTGTAAAATTTGTTTTGTAAATGTAGTTATCTAGTAAAACTCATAAAGCTTGATTAATAATGAATGTGATCTTGAATGTTGGGCTCTATTACTAATTTGGCCAAGCTAGGGCTTACTGATACTTACTTTGTGGGTTCATGACCCAGCTCTATTTAATATACATACATACATATATATATAATATATACATACATACATATATATGTAGTTTTTGTTATATTTAAACAAAATTATAATTGTAATAAATAATTAACAATAATTTTAATTATAAAGTTTAGTTTTAAAATTTTTTATATCTTTTTTAAATTATAATTTAAATCAATCCCAGGTAATTTTAAATCAATCTTGAGCTTGAGGCTTTCAGATCAGTTTAAAGCTTGGGAAAGATTAGTAATTTTTGTTTAATCCCTCTCCTAGTCCGAAGTTCAGAACAAATAGATTGCTTTAGCATAAAAGGGTTTTAAAAAATCATGTCTGACACTTAATAACTGACTATACTAGGCAATAAAAAATGCTATAGATCTGAGTGGAAAAGTAATGGCTCTGGAAACACTCGTCTTTATGTTTAAATTTAAAGATGCATAATAATCCTTACTATGTTCCAAGTTGTTTGTGCTTGTAATCTGTCACACAGGTAATTTTGAATATATTATTGTGAAGGGTAAGTTTTGTGCTGCTCTTTAGTATCATGGTCGGAGTTCTTTTGAACTTCTTTTTATGAAAATTACAGGTTCTGAAGTTTGTGGTATTATCTTGTCATTTGTATCTGGAAATTCTTATTTGATATTTGTGAAAAAAATTTCTTGAAAAGCAAATGTATTTATATCCCTTTTTTTCAAACTTCTGCCATGAGGAATCCATAAATTATTTTGTCATTATTGGATATATGTGCTTGCATGAGTGCACTTTAAGAGTAGCTTAATCTTGGGTGGATATTTTCATCTAAGCTTCTCAAGAAGGTTGAATAATCAAATATGGGTAGAAGGTGTTGGAATGGTGATAGGTTTTCAGGGTGAGGCATGGATCCACTAAAATAGACATTTCTTCAGGGAAATGCGGCATTTAAAGGAAGGCAGTGGAACAAGGCAGTCAATTACTACACTGAGGCTATCAAGTTGAATGGGATGAATGCAACCTACTACTGCAACCGGGCAGCTGCTTACTTAGAGTTAGGATGGTATGAGGTCTCTCCTGTTTTTCAATAGGTATTCTTACCATTTCTCTGTGTAATTGGTGTATTCCCTGTGAAATTATGCAGCTATCAGCAAGCTGAAGAGGACTGCAATAGGGCCATATTGCATGATAAGAAGGTGAGAAAATGGGCACGTGACAGGGACAGAATCATGAAAAACTTGTATTCTAAAATCTGCATGTGTAATAGTAATTATTTAACTATAATCCCCATCAATTATAGGAATAGGGTCTTCCTAATATTATGCTTAGTGTGTTAAAACTTCAAATATCCTCTAATACATCAAAATGCGGGTCACACCATCTTACTTGATGGGCATCTGTCTTAGGAGCTTATTTAACTGTGTGCTACTAAATTGTCATTGATATTGATAATGTTTATCTACTACATTCCCATATTTTCTTGGAATCGGAGTCCTCTAGATTTTGATATCTGGATCTGTACAAATATCTATAGCACGTATCAATTTCATTCAGAATTGTGTATTATTATTTTAATGCAGAATGTGAAGGCATATCTGAGACGTGGAACTGCTAGAGAATCACTACTACGTAAGGAGGAGGCTCTAAAAGGTGTGTCACAGTTTTTTAAAAACTATGTTGTATGTCATTTGAATCCATTTTGAAATGCTGTAAAGAGTTCTCGACATAGACATATCCCGGTGAACACCCATTACTAGTTAATTTTTATATTCCAGAGGCTGTCCAACAATGTTTTGAGTTTTTGTATGTCCAAGTTTGTTTTTTTTTATTCATTAAGTTGCAGATACTGTATAGCATGCTGATGTAAAAAACATATGAAAAAAAAAAAAAACTGTGACTACAGGAGATGCAGATACGATAATATCATATTTAAATGTACCTGGTTTATACAATTATACTTATTTTGGTCCTTTTAAATCTAGTTTTTATTTCTGAGGAAATGGCATACAATGCAAAGTAATAAAGAAAGGTAAAAAGGTTTTGCGAGGTAAAGCCTCCAGTATTAGATATTTGGACGTTTTAGTTGTCCTCAAATCTTGCATTGATGTAGGATGAGTTCATTGTTATTAATAGCCATTTTTTGCTGTACTTTATGTGCTCTGATTCTTTGCTCATTGTCTTACCCTGGATTTTAATCAGTTTAAGTGGGGCTATTCGAGAGTTTTGTGCTTCTTATATTCTGAATGTTGTTCCCTTTCCTTTGTCATTTTCTCATTCTATGCAGATTTCAAGCATGCTCTCGTTCTTGAACCGCAGAACAAGACCGCTAGTCTGGCTGAGAAAAGACTGAGAAAACTGATGAGTTGATACATGCTGTTGAGTTGATACATGCTGTTCTTTCAACCCTGACCTTCCTCCTCCTGCTTGAGAATTTTAATGGCTGTGGAAATACGATTCTAGCTCCGTTTTTGCGCTTGATACCTTAGAAGAGGTGGTAAATCGAAGAGAATGGAAAGACGAGCCTCTGTTGATGAAATGTTGCATTTTTTAGTCTCATTTGGGCATTTTTGTTGTAATAAATCTTATTCAATAATGTATATAATTTTGGTCCTGCATACATGTTTGCCTTTCTTCCGCACCCCCGCTCTCTCTATCTTTTATATAATATGTTTTGCCTGCATGTGAGCTAGGCCTAACAGCCTCGTGTGTGCATTTTTACCCTTTGTAGTGCTTCACACTTTTGATTGTTCGGAAAGGAACATGGTTTCCATTGATATAAAAATAGGTTTTATAAGAGTTATGTTGTAGGAAAAGTGATTGTGTAATGTTATAGAGATTCGTTTTGCGTATTGTAATTTTCTTTTTTTTCTTTTTTCTTCAGAAAGTGTGGCCCTCACAAAATGTTGTGTGTGTAGGAAAGTTTGTTGTGTCATGTTAAATGACAAATGTAAACTTCTATAAAAATATCCAAAAATGCCTTTACCATACTAGAATTCATACTTTTGCTGTTCGTAGGATTTATCAAATATATGTCGCATAATTAGTGTGGAGCTAATTTCCTTTGGGACATTGGCATTGATTGAGCTACCAGTATAGGACACGACGCAACGAAGAACTCGGTGACGCTATAAAATTTGATATGCTTTTGTGTACATTATAATATGAGAAAAATGTTTATCTTTTTAAATGACACAACTTATATCTTTTCACTCTAAAAAAGAAGTGAGATTCACACCTTTATTTTTTTTGGCAACTCTCTCTCCTCCTTTATCTATCTCTTTCTCTCTCTTAAAATGATACAATTTTACATCCTTTAAAATGACACACACTTTTTCCTTATAATATCATGTCATAAGACATAACTGCAACTCTTTCTCTAAAGTGTTCGCGCATCATGATATGTGCAGTGTATGAATATCTTTTTCATAGGTTTTTTTATAATTAAATTGTTGCTTTTTTAATGATAATGAAAATTTTACTAAACCTATATACATGCTTTTTATTTTTTAAAAATTGAATTTGATCACTAGTTCATTACAGGACAAGAAATTCACGAACATGAAATTGAAATTGAATTATAGCCATTTTTGCTAAACTAAACGTATTTTACATATTGAGTTCACAATATTAATCACAGTGATCAGTCCATAGTCTTCGTTTATCACATCTCCCAAACCATTGAAGGTACACTCCTTAATATATCCTGTGTAAAGTTTGGATTGATAAAACTAAATTCCTGAATCATCAAATAATAATGAAATCAAATGATTGTGCGTATCTTGTTAGGTCATAAAACCGAAGGTAAGGAAGGAACTATATGATAGGATCTTTATCTCAATTATCTATTTCAAAAAAAGACAGCCTTCTTGCGATGCGAGTATGATGGCCTATAAGGCTTAACCCCAATATAAACAAGCTAGAGAGAGAACTTAGCCAGAAATTCTAAAAAGAGTATGTGTCCATTGGGTCCATCCATCATGAAAAGCAGACACAAAAACCTGCATTGCTGCCTAACTAGGTTCAATACCAATAGATGTCAAAAGCCCAATCTATCATGATCACAACTGGCTAAGCGACATAATTAAAATTGAAATATTCATTAACCTGATTAATTTTAAAATATAAAATTAATTAATTAATATTGCCTACAAATAGGAAAATTTCTAACATTCTACCAATTGGGTTATATTTAATTAATTTGATATTATTTTAAAAATTATTTTATTTTGAAAATGACTTTACCAGGTTAGTAAGTAAAACATATATCATTTTACGTGGCCATAACTTTAAAAATCAATATTCCAATTTCAGTATCTCAATCCAATATAACCCTGTCATAGATATATGGAGGTCAAAATGCTAAAAATACTATAACATATAACCTTCCATACTCACATGTCACGTACAATAAGTATTACACTTTCATCACTTCATGAATCATGGGCCAAGTAGTGTAGTAAGTATTAGTGCCAAGATATGATTAACAATGTAACACTAGTTTTTATCGGTCCTCAATATAATTTCTTAGCAATATGAAATTACAATAGTGCAATTTTCAAGCAACATGAAATTACACTCCTTAATATAATTTCTCAACAACATGAAACTGCATTAGTGCAATTTCTAAACAATATGAAATTGCTACTTTCAATCCAATTTATTAACAACATGAAACTGAATTAATGCAATTTTCAAACAACATTAAATTGCAGAGATTAAATAAACCAATATGTCACAATACAACATGAGATCTCAAAATTTGTGACATTCAGTCATCTTTGAGCACACATCATGCTTAAAAATATTATTCCATACATATATTTCTCAATCGACAGCAGAAATAACATAATGATGATCATCAATTATGAAAGTTCAAGAAAATGTCATTAAATCATCATCAGTTTGAATACATAACAGAAAAGTCAACTAAATATAACTCCTCTGAACTAGAAAAAGGTGAGGAATTCAAAATCTTTACAATTAAATCCCTATAAAGTTGCACTTAAACTATGATACCAAGCTCAATTTGGTTCTCTTCTGAACTATTATCCCCGTTACCATGAACCTGAATTTGCTTGTAAATGTACATCTTTGCACAACATAAGTGGTAAATAAAATTAAAGAACTGCACTAGTGTGATGAGCCAGTAAAAGTACTCCAACTTCCCTTTGTTTAGGTTATTATCAGGAAGCCAATTTGACCCATCAGGCCTAGCACTAAACTTGTGGACCAAGGTAACCAAAAGGGTACTCACATAGTTCCCAACAGAAATTGAAGTCCAAAAAAGTGCCATGGTAGTGCCCCTCATACTCTCTGGGGCCTGGTCATAGAAAAACTCTAAATGAACCTGAATTGGCTTGTAAATGTACATCTTTGCACAACATAAGTGGTAAATAAAATTAAAGAACTGCACTGGTGTGATGAGCCAGTAAAAGTACTCCAACTTCCCTTTGTTTAGGTTATTATCAGGAAGCCAATTTGACCTATCAGGCCTAGCACTAAACTTGTGGACCAAGGTAACCAAAAGGGTACTCACATAGTTCCCAACAGAAATTGAAGTCCAAAAAAGTGCCATGGCAGTGCTCCTCATACTCTCTGGGGCCTGGTCATAGAAAAACTCTAGATGCCCAAAGGACATAAAGGCCTCAACCATTCCATAAAGGCTATATTGTGGCACAAGCCAAAATACTGAGATTGGGATTGTGGATTGAGAATGGTCAATAAGCCCATGGGCCATAGCTACCTTCTTTCTCTTCACTTCAATGAACCCAGCAACCAAAGTTGCCAAGGTAGAAATCACAAGCCCAATTCCCATTCTGTGAAGGAAGCTAATACCACGGTCCAACCCAGTGAATCTACGGGCTACACGGATGAATACACGATCATAGAAGGCAGTGGTGATGAGCATAGTGAGGATTGTGAAGACAGACATGGACCCTGCTGGGATTTGGAAGGACTTAATAAGGTGCCTGTCCATGGTTTTGGCTTGTTGGAGTGAGAATGTGTTTTGTTGGGTATAGGTTGTTATCAAAAGGATTCCTGAGGCCCAAATTGGGCCCATCCTTATTAAGGACTTCAATTTCTTCACTCTATGAACTGTGTTTAGCTTCCATAAGTTGGGTGTTTCGTTGTTGTCTTCTTCTGTCACAATTGCTGACTTGTCCAAAAATCTGCATCAATTTTCATGAAATTGACTTAGGTTAGGGGGGAAGGTTCCTTTCAACTTTACTCCGTTAACAATTTATTTCTGGGGATTCAAAGAAGCACTTATATAAATTAAGATTTTTGTCACAAAGTTGTTCAAATTGATAGTGGGAATTTTAAATCTCATTGTTAACAATAACTATGAAATTTTGTTATTAATTTTAATGACACCGTGACAGAAAGATATAAATTACACTCAACAATAAACTACATACAAAATTAAACTACAAATGCTCAATTTAAAGAATTTAATTTATATGTACATTTAGTCTAAAAGAGTTTAATCATGTTATTTAATTATGTGTTATTTTTTTTAATAAATTTAATAACATATGAATTATTAAATGACGTAGCAATATTTAAAATCAAACGAAGCAATCCTAGTCATGAGAAACACTTGTAAAGATGGATTATGGTTCATCTATGCCTAGTTAAAAGCTTACTGGGGCAGCAGAAAAACACGATATTTTACCTACTTTATTTACTTATCTCAAATATACACACTTAGTAAGAAACATGATAAAGGGAGATAAGCAGAGAGAGAAAGACAAGATAGAAGCAAGCCGGGTGATAACAGTGTGCAAGAAATTTCTCTTAGGCAAGAACTTGTGGGTAACCCATCGACTTTTTAACCTATAAATACTTTTAACTTTGTGGCCATTTTAGGTACAAGAGGATGAATAGAGTTTTGAAAAGATGGAGCAAAATGATCACATTCATGCTAGAAGAAGGTAAATGGGAGGGCTGGTCACAATGCCCTTCATCTTTTGATTATCAATCTGATAAGATTATGTAAAAGGAGAAAAGAAAAAGAAAAAACAAAATATAATATAATAAATACAAATATATTGGATAGCATGGGGATATATTGGATAGCGTGGAGATATATTGGATAGCGTGGAGATATATTGGGTATCCAATATTGGTATCCTATCCTGTTGAATCCTAACCCAGCTCTACCTATAGGATAAGAAATCATGTATTAGACAGGATAAAATGAGATAATAACCTAATCATATCCTATTGACCCACCAAACAAGAGATAAAAATAAGATATGATAAGTTATCCTATCATATCTTCTTTATCAGGTGCTCCAAACATGCCCTTAAAGTGCATCTATAATTAGAATACAAAAAATTAATTAATAGCTAACTCCTCCTAGTGCTACTCTAAATGTATGGTTTAATTTTGAATCTTAAACCCTTGGATTTATTTATTTTGTTGCAGCTAATGATGTATGTGAAAAGTTGGTTGTGGTGGGTTTCAATACAAACATGATTAGCTACTTGACAACACAGCTTCATATGCCATTAACCAAAGCCGCTAACACCTCACTAACTTTGGTCGAACTTCAAGCTTAACACCATTGCTAGGTGCTTTCATTGCCGATTCATATGCTGGAAAGTTTTGGACCATCACCGTTGCTTCCATTATATACCAAATAGTAATGTTTCCTCCTAGCTAACTCTGAATATAAATTTTGAACTGAATTGCTAACTATTTTATATCTATTATACAACTCGGATTTTAACCTTTAACCGTTATCGTATTTATGTAGTAACTTAAATAAAAAAAGTATTTACTGTATATATATGATTTTTTTACGCACCAATATAGAGGTTAGAAATTAGTGAAGATCTCACTGGGTACGACTAAATTACAGTATATATTATTATGTATAGATGCTACTTAATGATAATAATTCAAATGGTTAAAGATAGGATAAAAATTTAATATATAGAATTAGGTGTAGATTTAAGCCTTGATTATGATTCATTCATGACTTTTTTAAATAAAATCACTTTAGATTCTTTGATTTTCTTATAAACATGGAATATATACAAAGATTAGGTTATCTTATTATCTCATTGTATCCTGTCCAATACATGAATAGAGCTGGGTTATGATTCAACAGGATAGGATATCAATATTGGATACCCAATATATCTCCACGCTATCCAATATATCCTCATGCTACCCAATATATTTGTATTTATTATATTATATTATATTTTTTCTTTTTCTTTTCTCCTTCTACATAATCTTATCAGATTGATAATCAGAAGATGAAGGGCATTGTGACCAGCCCTCCCATTTTCCTTCTTCTAGCATGAATGTGATCTTTTGCTCTATCTTTTCAAAACTCTATTCGTCCTCTTGTACCTAAAATGGCCACAAAGTTAAAAGTATTTATAGGTTAAAAAGTCGATGGGTTCCCCGCAAGTTCTTGCCTAAGAGAAATTTCTTGCACACTGTTACCACCCGGCTTGCTTCTATCTTGTCTTTCTCTCTCTGCTTGTATCTCCCTTTATCATGTTTCTTACCAAGTGTGTATATTTTTCTCCCTTTAGCATTATTGTATCCTTGGGATATATAAGGACATTAGACCTCGTGTTCTTCTCAATATTATCTTTGGAAGAGGTTTAAAACTTTAATTCTGGATCCATTTATTTTTCGTGAAAGATACATGTGATTTATAAAAAAAAAAGAAGATATTTTTATTTTTCTTGTGCCTTCCTTTGTAATTTTCGAAATCAAATCTTCCCGTATCATTGGAAGAAAATTGGGAAAGAATGTTACATTTCTTTATTTTAATTTTATATATAAAAGCTTATTTTAGGGTACCACAAATCTAATCAAGGATTCATCGTGAATTACATATATATTGCCTACCAAAAAATAAATAAACTAATAATTAAACCCATGTCATGATTAAACATAAATGGAAAATTTGACCAGGTGCAAACCCTATTTAACAGAAATGCTAGATTTCAATCAAATCAAATTAAAAGAGAAAATTTATTTGATTCTCCCCTATGCTTGAAGTGGTACCTAATTCCCATATTTATTGTTAAAAATAAATATTTAGAAAATATGTTTTAATTTTAACCATTAATAAACTTATTTTTGTAATCAATATTATGACAATGTATTAAAATTAGAATGAGAAACGACATAAAAATATTTAGGAAAGAAATATTTATTTAGAAATATAGTTTTAGAATATTTATAAATACTTTTTTTGGAGTTTATTTTTTTAATAAACATATCTCCAAGATATTTTTATTTCTAGAACAACTTATAATAAAAAATGCTAAACAAAATTTTTTTTCTGCTAAAATTTTTACTATCAAAGTGCTTAACAATATTTTTATTTATAAGTCTTTTTTTATCATCATTTCCCAATTTTTTTATTGGAAATTATTTTAAAATTAATTTATAAAAATTCTGATAACAAATATTTTTATCATATTGAATTTTTCGTTAGAAAAAATAATTGTAAGATTATCATTATTATTAATAATTTTTATATTTTTGAATTTGCAGGAATTTTAATAGATACGAGACAAAAGAAGATTATTTATGGTGTTAATTACTATTTTACTCAATGAACTTAATGCAAATTTTTAGAGTAATAATAATCGGGTTATTCATAATTTTGATTATGAGATACTAATTATTATTTATGATTCTAATTAATATTTATTTGTAACCAAGATATTGCCATAAGACACTCTAATCCCGTTAGGTCTATGAAGAGATCCATTGCAATATGTTGAGAAATAATTCTAACAAAATCACAATTAAGTAATTTTTTTAAAGCATAAAGGGTTAAAAAGCCTTGATTTTGAGTAATTCCCGTATTTATTGTTAAAAATTAATATTTTGAAAATTGTCATACTAATTTTAGTAATTTATTCCGTAAAAGTAAATTTTTATACTATCTAAATAAAATATATTATCTTAAAATACTTGTTCAGTTAATATATCAAAGAAGAAACTAGTTTTATCATAATTAATTTCAAGATTGTTGAATCGCAATACATATCGTATATTGTTTCGCGAATTTTTTATATCGTGTATCATGCATCAATTCGAATTGTAAGATATAGAAATATGGTAAAAAATAATTTATATATATATATATATTAAAATATTTATTTAATTATTTTATTTATTAATATAGATTTTTCATATTTATTTTTGAATTTAAATCAAAAATTAAATTTTTCTTTTCTTTTCCTTATTAATAATAATTCTTTAGATTTTTTAATTTAAATAATAAATTAAATTTTTATTTTTTATATTAAAATTTAAAATTTAAATTTTTGATTTAATTTTCTTTTAAGCTTCTCAAGAAGGTTGAATAATCATATATGGGTAGAAGGTGTTGGACGGGTGATAGCTAGGTTTTCAGGGTGAGGCATGGATCCTACTAAAATAGACATTTCTTTAGGGAAATGCGGCATTTAAAGGAAGGCGGTGGAACAAGGCAGTCAATTGCTACACTAAGGCTATCAAGTTGAATGAGATGGAGAAGAATTTTAGTGTTCTCGGATCATTATTGACTCAGTCATCCGAACCAATCAAGATCTTGGAATCGGAGTTTTCTAGATTTTGACATCTGAATCTGTACAAATATCCATAACATGTATCAATTTCTAAGTCCTCATTCTTTACCTTCCAAAAGCTTGTCGCCAACAACCACTTCCAACACCAATATGCGAGTCATCTTATCTTAAGGTAATACAATCCACGAACCATAGCCCCAAAAATGCCAATATGTTTGCAGGCAACATTTGAGTTTGAGTTTCAAAGAAAAAAAAAGACCTTGTATTCATTGTTTTGTAGTGGGTTCGATCTAGCCTTGGACACAAATGATGCCCATTTCGCTAAACCGAGTTCTTCACATACAAATATTTTCACCTCCTCGCAAAATGATCTAAGAATGCATAGATAAACCCAATCCTCCAATTTTACCTTAAACAACAAAACATTCTTTTGAGTATTCAAGTTTTATCAAAAATATTGCAAACATTAGGTGGTGTCTGAGGACAAAGGCTATTGAAGAGAATTAATATCATCTTATATATTTGGAAGAATTATATAAATTCATTATTAAAAAGTATTTTTGTCAAAAATATTTATTTTTATCATATCTAATATTTTACAGTGCACTAAATCCATGGAGGGTTTTTCAGAAAAAAATTATTAATATATTGCGCAATTAATTATGGTTGGAAAGTAAAAAGCAAAAAGCAAAATAATTTTAAAAATAAATGACAAAACTCAACAAATTTTTATTAAGAGTAAATTTTTTTTTTTTTTTTTCGAAGATCATTTCGCAAAAACACGTATTCAGGTTTAACAATTTTTCTTCTCGAATAATTAACTCATAATTTTAAAAACATTAGATCGATGTTATTTTGGTTTTTACCTTTACATGAGTAACCAAAAAAAATAAATAACAATCAAACATCATTGACACAAGTGATAAAAAACTTGTGTTTCTTAATCAGAAGTCTTGATTCGAGTCCTGAAAATTGAAAATATGATTCTGGAAGAGCAACTCCTTTATAGGATCCGATAGTGTTTAAACCGGATTAGTCCAAAAAATGAAAATAAGAATCCGAATGTTTGAGTTGCATGTAACTGTTTGACGAATTGGCAATCCGCATTTCATGCATTCCAATTTGCTGTCGTGTTAGCCTTATCTCGTATTCTCCGCACATCATCTTCAATTTCCATATTCATCCTACGAAAAATGGAAATTAACCTATCTATCTAATCCAAACCAACTTTGTTACCATTAACGGCCAGAAAATACGACAATTATTCAACATCGAAAAGAGATTCATCCTTGTTATCATCATTCATCAAACAATAACATACCCACTTGGATTTCGATTTCTTCGCAACCCATTTCCAATCCTTGATATTAAACATACATTCACATTGTGCCAATTTTTCTTCTTTCCTTTTTATTTCTTCCATTAATTCTGTAACATCGTCTTCCATGTTGCCTAAACTTTCTAAATGCTTCAGCTTCACGGCTTCCAGAGACTGGTTATACCGTCATTCCTTCGTCGTTGCCGGCCTCCGTTCCGTCATCACCGACCTCGGTGACGGAACCACCATGCATTGCTGGGTACCCAAATTGCACAAGCCATGCAAACCCACTCTTGTTCTCGTTCACGGTTTTGGTGCCAATGCAATGTGGCAATACGGTGATCACCTTCGCCACTTCATCACGCGTTTCAATGTGTATGTGCCGGACCTTCTCTTCTTCGGCGAGTCCTTCACGTCACGGCCGGAGAGGACCGAGTCTTTTCAGGCAATGTGCTTGAAGAATCTGATGGAAGCTCATGGGGTGAATAGAATGAGCTTGGTTGGGATCAGCTATGGTGGGTTTGTGGGGTACAGTGTGGCTGCTCAGTTCCCTGAGGTGGTGGAGAGGTTGGTGTTGTGTTGTGCTGGTGTTTGTTTGGAGGAGAGCGACATGAAAAATGGGTTGTTTAAGGTTTCCACTTTGGATGAGGCTTCTAGCATCTTGCTGCCACAAACCCCTGATAAGCTTAGGGAATTGATGAGGTTATCGTTTGTGAGGCCTGCTAGGGGTGTGCCTTCTTGGTTCCTGCAAGATTTCATTCAAGTATATATATATATGGCTCTCTCTCTCTTTCTTAATTAAATGTTTGCTTTGCATTGAATTGAATGAAAATATATAAGTGGTTTAGTTATATAGCACATTTGAGACAAAGGATTTTGACATAAATATTGCTGTGGCCTGTGGATATTAATTTAATTGTTAAACAAGACATGTATATACCTATAATTAATATGTGAATCCTGCATAAGCATTCAACTCTGGTTGGTTGTGTTGTGTTGTTTACCTCTTTCGAATTAATTACTTGAAAATTAATTGACCTCAGCAGCTTTGTGGTTGGTTTGATGATCTGTGTGTTTATTAATTTGGACAGGTGATGTGTACAGATTACATTGAGCAGAAGAGAGAATTGCTTGAGGCAATACTAAAAGGTCGACAACTTTCCAATCTTCCTACGATCAAACAGGTATTTCCCTAATAATTCCCATCTTCTCAATTTTGAGATGCATTGATTTCTAGCTAGTTAGTTATCTCTAGAGAGAAAATATACCAACAAAGAGTAGATTTATTATGTGCTTCACCTTCTTTTGATCAATATTATTGTTATTTGAATATTTACAACATTGTGGGTATCCATTGGAGCAGCCCACTCTAATTGTGTGGGGAGAGCAAGATCAGATATTTCCTCTGGAATTAGGCCACAGGTTAAAAAGGTGCGTGAGATTTCAATTTCAATCCAAAGGAAGTTCATGTTGTTGCTTATAATTTGCATATTCAAGCATAGTCTTTAAACTAGTAAGCATGGATCGATGTCTCTTTTGAAGCAGGCATATAGGGGAAAATGCGGAAATTGAAGTGATTAAGAATGCAGGGCACGCAATGAACCTAGAAAAGCCCAAAGAGTTTGCCAGGCAGTTGAAGTCATTCCTTGTTGATGCAGACTCATGTCCCTCCCCACCACTTTCTTTCAGGGAGCAAATCCAGAAGACATTTTCCTTTGATTTCAGTAAGTCATAGAAATTGTCTATTTCCTAAGGGCATCAAGATGATGAAGATTGCAATGCAATTTTATAAATGTATAGCATCTAGAAGCTGGTGATTTCAGCTTCTTAAATGAGCTTTTGAGATTCAATTTTCAATATATATATATATATATTCCGGGAATTACCTTCTTCTTCTTTTTTGGTAAAAGGAATTACTCTATTTAATTGTTTAGTTTGAGTATGAAGGCAAGCAAAGGCTTGGCCTAGCTAGTTTCTTCCATTTTTTTGGTCATGCTTGGATGGGGACATTGGGGAGAAGCTTCTTTTCTGTTATTTGTTTATTTATTAAACTTTTGTTTCTCAGAAGATATGTATAGTGTGTGACCCAAGAAATCTCAATATAAATCACTCATTTTGCTCTGCAGTTAGGAATTGGCCAGGCTGGGTTGCATTGGCATGGTGTGGTGGTCTAATATTACAGGCAATATTCGATACCAAATTGTTTGTAATGCTGATAATGTTTTGTTATCTTTCTTCTAAATTTCTGTATGTGTTTGCTCTTTCTAATAATTAAGATGAACCAAACACGGTATCATTTGTTTGGAGTCAGAGAGCTCAGGCACCGTTTTCTTTTAAAATGTCAAAATGCGCCGTGTTTTGTTGTATTGATGAGTCTGTACGTTACCAATCTTCAGCACGGTTTTCTGTGGGGCATTTAACGAATCAAATACTGCCATCCTACGCATCTTTTCGTTGGACCAGAGAGTAATAATTAACGTAAAATTACTAGTGCTGTGACCTTCCACTTTACAAAATAAAACTTAATTGTGATGAGCATCGATGACAACAAAGTAAAATTTAAAAAAACAAAACAAAAATCACATATGCCAAATATGTTCCAAACTTGATTTTTTATATATATTTTTTTAAAAATAAATTACTTACACTATACTTGTTTAGTTAAAAAAAAAAAGAGAGAAGAAAATATATATTAAAATTAAAAAAGTATTATATTTACAAATTTTATATTTACAAATACTTAAATATGTATTCTTCAAAATATATAATTTGATTTGTAAAAGTTTAATTTATAAATATAATCCTCCTCCTCTTAAATATATGCTTTCTTATTTTACAATAATATATGAAATGTAGGAACAATGATCAAAATGTCATTTTTTGGCAAATTTTTTACTCAAATATCACGCGAACAGTATTTTTTACTAGACTGTCACGCGACGTAATTCGCTATGATAGATAACGAACTTCGTCGCCTATAATTTTGTGACACGTGACCACATTACGTATCAAATTCGCTATCATTAATAACGAATTTCGTCTAATCAGCTTTTTTCTGTGAAAATGTGTCATATGTCACAAAATCATTAACGAACGTAATTCGTTACTAGTTGTAGCAAATTATATCAGATGATAATCTGATAATAAATACTGTTCATATAGCATTTGGGTACAAAATTTGCCAAAAAAAGAAAAAATGATATTTTGGTGAAAATTGCGTAAACGTAAGTGTTAATTTACAATACAGAGGCAGACAAGTTTAAAGTCAAACCCGTGTTATGGCGACATGACAGGATGAAATTTTAAGCATCATAAGTATACATGATATTTGGAGTTAATTCATAAATGCAGATTGAAATGAACGGTCGAAATGATAGCTCAAAAGTTGTCCCAATCACCATCCCTCTCTCATTCTTTCTTTCTATAAGTATCCCAAACCACTCATATTTTTGACCCTGACCATAACATGAGAAATATTATTATTATTATTATTATTATTTATTATTTATTACAAATAACTTAATTTATTCCAAGAATATCCTTCTCCAAAGAAACAAAAAAGGAAAAACAAAATAAATAAATAAATAAATGTTAAAAAAAACACGGTCGTTAATTTGTTAAAAACACAAGGATACAACTCAGATCAAATGTTTTGCCTAATTCTACCAATACTGAACACATTATAAAGAGAGGAGAGAAAAAAATAAGGAAAACGGAAAAAGAAAAAGAAAAACAGAGAGAAAATGGGGAAGAAAAATATGGAGAGTTGGGAAGGGACGATGCCACGGCCACTGCCACTTCTCCTCCGTAACGTCATAGCTTCCGTTCTCTACAACGCCGACAACTCATTCCTCTTATTCGCCCAAAAATACAAAATCCTTCAAACGCTGCGTTTCATTCTCCTCAACTGCTACCTCTTCTTCGTCCGTTTCCTTTCTTCTTTCATCCTCGACAAATACGACGCCGTCAAGGTCAAGCAGTACCACAAATACGCATACGAAGCGCCGCGAAACGACACCGGCATCGCACGTGCGCTTTCGCAGCTCCTCTCATCCCTGAACGACATCCCCGTCAGTTCGAGGAAGTACGAGGTGGTTCGATCTCTTGCGGAGAGGATCATCGACGACAACCAGAGGGACGGGGTCCACGCGCTGCGCGAGATCAACCGCGTGGTTCTCTCGGCGGCGTTTGCGAGGGCGCTGAGGCAGTTGGAAGCGGCGGTGGCTGAGCGCGGGATAGGGGAAGGTGAAGGAGAGGGTGAATACTACCCGCTGAGGAGGGTTCTGAGGACGGTTGGTTGGAGGGTGAAAGGAGCGGAAGGGAATCTGTCTGGGGTTCCGGCGGAGAAGCTGGCGGCGGAGTTGGTTTGGTTGGCTCAGAAGTTGGCGTTTTGTGAATGTACGGAGGAAGCTGTTCGGCTGTGGGCGGCGGCGTCTAATTTGGGGTACCTCTCTCTCACGGCTGACCCGCGTTTGCAGTCTTCCCTTGTCAAACTTGCAGGTATATCAGTATTACACTTTTTTTTTCAATTATAAGTAATTAATTAAGGGAATAACATTTATCCTGGATATAAACTTATATCCTTTTAGATCCTAACCGTGGATTTTCGTCCATCAATGATTATAATTTATTGGATTAAAATTATTAATTAATTAATAAACTAAATGAGTTTTTTTTTTTTTTTTTTACTTAACAAGAAATAAAACTAAAAAACAATATTTCCTTTTTATATTTATTTATGAAATAAAGAGAGGTTATATATACAATCTTGTAAAATGGTGTAAGCAAAGCGAAAAATCGTGGTTGAAAATATAATCTTTATATGTGAAATGATGGCAAATTATTTGATTTACATTTTTATTGTTTCTTGTAAGATAATGAGTAACTTGGTTCTGTGAACTTATTTTTATTATCCTCATGATTATTAGGGTTCATATGAGAACAAAAATTTAGGTTGGAAATTTTTTGGACGAAAGTTGAAAGATAATGGCCGTGAATTGAGAAAATGTTTTGTGCACCTCTTTTATGTTGAGGTGATTTGTAATTCTAGTGTCAGAAGTTTGTGAGTTGTCCTAACTTTGAATGTGGAGTCTTTTCTAACCATAGACTTTATTTTATATTTAAAAAAAAAAGTGTGTATTTTATATTTCTTTTAAGAAAGATGAACATAAAGAAGTGTAAGTCTCCTTAAAAAAATAAAGATAAAAAATAAATAAAATTGTGGATTCTATTTCTTTATGTCTATCTCTCTTAAAATGACCTAAGTTTGTGTCTTTTAAAAAGAGAGACACTTTTCTCTTTAAAAAAAATATGCAATTTAATTGGGAGACACCATGACCCAAATACTTAAGGTGATACACATTCATTTGTATTGAGGAGAATAAACCCCAAAAACACTTGAGAATTTCTCGAGTTATGTAATAAATATGGTTTACATTCAATTGTATATATAGAGTACTAACTAAGAATTTCTAGTCTAAAGTTTGGTTGAGAATTAGTTATTGTGTTTTCTTGCAATTGCAACTATGGTATCTAGTTGGCTTGTACTCTGAAATTCCGGTGTAGAAACCCATGGAGAATGTCCATCTGTGGTCATGTCTTTTTTCTTTGATATTTACAAACATTCGCAAACTCTGACCCTGTCAACTAATTCAATATAAAACAAGGAGTAAAATATGTTGACCGTGTCACAATAACTTTATAAACATTATACATCAAGATACGATACTTCAGTTCAATCATTTATATTGTCTAACAACTGTCTTGAATTTTCCTAGCAGCGTTCTTGTTCAAGGAAGCCAAAGACATGGGCCTAGACGAAATCGAGGGAAGCAAGATGAAGCTACACATGCAAGTCAAGTTAAAGATGTTACAATCATGGCTGCCATTGTTGTGTAGGGCCAGTAATGGCACCGATGCCCCCGCTTTAAGCATTAGTGAGAAGGCTGAGTTAGAGAGGGTGTTAGAGAACATTATAGAGGGGTTGGAACAAGAGGAGCAGGAGCAGATTCTTTCTCTCTGGCTCCATCATTTTACGCATTGCTCATCGTCTGACTGGCCAAACCTCCATGCATGCTTTGCTCGTTGGTGCACTGTATCTCGCAAGCAGTTGCTGCATGGATGAAAATTGACATTAATACAAAAGCAATTATACTTTGCTATATATGTTAGCCTTAATTTTCAAAGGTTCGATCACCAGGCTATTTAATTTCTTGCATACACTTTTAGTATAAAAAAATGTAAAAAAATAATAATAAAATAAGCATTTTTTGTTATCAGGGCATTAGATAGAGAATGATATTTGTTGAGATATATAGTCCCACATTGGTTGTATGTGCAACTAATGTGGAGTTTATAAGACCTTGGGGTGGTGTATCTCAAGGTTCTTTACAATTTTGTATAATTAAAAATTGGGGACCATCATACTAATAAATATGATATCTGCAGCTTAATTATCGAGCCATTGGTTTGGTTAAATTTTCGCATATGGAATTTTGAACAAGGGTTGTCGTCCCTTGGTGCAAGAAAATCGAGAATGGGATTGATTTGTGGGCTTTTCTATATTAATAATGTTTTTACTTGCTAAAATACACTTATTTGAAAAGAGTTGAAAAATCAATTTATTGGAAGTTGGCTTATCAAGATGAATCTTTTTTTTCTTTTAATATGCATGTTCAGAAATTTAAAGAAAAGTGATTCTCAACTTGTAAACTCGAATAAAAGTTGAGAAGAATTTTTGGTAGGGCCATAGAAACCACTTCTCAACATTAATTTTCAACATTTTTTTTTCTTTTTGGTTGAGTTCAAAATGGTAGGTCTCAGGCAAGAAGCTGCCGCCGCGCTTTGGAATGTGTTTTAACGATACAAATCGAAAGTTCATTGCAGCAGCTGATGTTTGATCACCAAAGTTCCATTTACAAATTTCTCTTTATAGTGTGTTGCTCAAGTGAATATTGATTTTCAAGACACTTTTATTATAAAAAAAAATTCAACATATATGATGAAGTAGAGAATTAGTCTACAGGGTAACTATAAAAAAAAATAGAGAATTAGTCTGCAGGGTAATTATTTTGTGCCACTTTTATTACTTGTAGGGCTTGATACATGAGAGTTTATTGTTATATTGAGGAACAACTAGTGGTTGGCTAGCACATTGAAGCAGTAGTTAGAAGCCAAACCCTCTCCAATAACACTTAATTTATCTCTTACCAACTTGACATAATTTTTTTTTTCTGCCAACAAGACTAACCTTACCTGTTCCTCGTTTTCAGTGCTACTACTAGTTATGTGTCACATTGCAATCGATTTTGAATAAATATCAAACTTCTCAGAAGAGGACAGTTGTGGCTCCTGCAAAAATAAACCATTTAGAATCAACTTCATATAAGCTATGGTATGTTATCAATATATTAGTAAGAGAAAGGTGTAGAGTATATAGAATAAATGATGTAATACATGAGCATACTGCTGCCTAGTTTCCATGGCAAGCTCTTGATTGTTTAGGCCAAAAGTTCCTTCTTTAGCCCCACGTATTGTAGAGCGCATGGCACTTAGCAAGCGGCCATAAGTGATCAATTTAGGTTCATCTTGCATGGCTTGGATGAAACTGTAAGTCAAGGCGCCAGCACTTTCCATGCCACTAAAGGCCTAATCAACAAATCAAAGCCTTGGTTCTCAGAGACATTTCTATTCTAATTCACATCAACCATTGTAACGGAAAAAAAGGATCCATTACTAACCGATGTGTCTGCTGCATTTCCATCATCATCACAAGCTGAAATACAAACTGCTAATCCTCCTCCAGTGCCTTTGTAACCAGCTCTGGGGTTTCTGTGATCCTCCCATCCATAATAACCTTTTCTGCTTCAACTAAAAAAAAATCAGATCCCCGATTTACCAATGAAAAAGATTGAAAGCCTAAAGATGTTTCTTAATGATTGAAGACAACACATAGAGTATTCTTGACTAACCTGTTCATCCTGCACATAAATGGTAAATCAAGAACTGTCCCACTAAAGCATGTATCAAAAAGGGCATGAAGTTTGGCACCATGAGGAAGAGGCCTAATGATTGTAGCATTGATTTCATCGTCGAGTATCTTCCCCTCATGCTCATAATCAACAGGGCATATTGCTTCATCATACCCATCAAGCTCATCCATGTTAAGGTCTGCTTCCCTTGATCCATGTCCAGAGAAATGAAACACCAATGAGTCCCCTCGTTGGCAACCCTCAACCAACCACCTCATTGCCATTCTCATGTTATGTTTTGTTGGGATTCTCAGTGGGTTTTTCTCCACTGGATCATCTGCAGGTCATTTCTGAGTGTTATAACATAGATAGAATGAAAGATATATATGATATCATGCATGGCTCTTCTGGTTTTAGGCCTTATTGTGTAGCCTTGATAAACCATAACATAATCATCATCCCATATATAGGACATTAGCATCCAAATTATAACAAGATTTGCACTTGTCTAAACTATGAAACTTTTAATATGTCTAGTAAATAGAACAATGACAATAAGCATTAGTTATTATGCCATAATAGTTATTATGCTGACAGAGGTTCGATCTCCGGCCGTGTGTATGGAAAAGGCTTTGTTGGGAGAGGTTTACCCATCTCCCGCCTCGAAAGGATTAGTCTCCGGCTGTCGGCTGGAGGATATCTTGGGAAACCAAAAAAAAAAAAAACAGCTAGTACCTGTGAGCATGCGAATTGAATCACTAGAGAAACCCAACTTTTCAATCAAGAAGTATTTCATGCACTGAACATCATTCACGGAACCTTTAATCTTGTTAACCCGATTGCCATAAGTAATGCCAAATAACACAGCCCTCTTGTTACCATATGCAGAAGGAGGAGGTGGTGGTGGTGCCCTCAGTGGCCAAGACTGAGGATAATAGAATTGGTGAGGTCTACCATAGCCAGCATAGTTAATGAAGGGAGGTGCATTATTGACAAAAGGATAATTAGGACGAACTGGGGTTAATAAGCCTTGGCACCCAAAACACATAGTGGAAATGGTATAGGCTTGTAGTGGCACTAGCATAGGCCTTCCACACTGAGTGCATCTTGCTCTTCGAGTTGCCATATTTTGAATGTTTAGTTTAGCCAAAATCAATGAAGAAGGAAAATAGAGATTAAGAATGAAAAGAGTAATCTGTTTATGACCTTCAATTGGAGGTGTCTCCATTAAATTTATAGAATCGCATTCTATTTGTCTTTTTCTAGTGGAAGGCGAATATATATCAGCCCAATGAGGTAATTAACGTCAAAATGTGGATGGATATAATTTTCAATAGAGAATCAAGCATGAGTTGATGGTATGGGGTTTCCTTTGACTTTGAGGATGTGGATCATCTCATCATGTTACATATACAAGGCAAACTCTTATTAAAATTGGCCGTTTGCGAGACAATAAGAAACCTATCAGTGGCGAATATTATAATTGTGTCCAAGATATGATTTATCACTGATTAATCATATCTGCAAGAACCAGATGCTGCAAGCGGTGCATTCTTTGGTTGTGGAAAATCAGGGTAGCTTTTTACCCACTTTTGTAATTCTTTACTAAATATTGCCTGGGAAAATTATAAACGCAACAAAATAAGGCGTATGCGTGACTGTATATAATTGTTTAAGCCGTTGTTTGCTATGTATATGGAAAAGACATATTAATAGGTAAGCAAGTCATTTTGTAAAGGTTCTTGGTGATGAGGGCATGCGGGGCAAAATAATGCAAAAACCGAAACTTCAAAAGCATAAAAAATAAATAAACCAGAAATTCACATTAAAAAAAAAATATCTTGTTACTGTAATTTCTATGTCCACCTATGGAGTTTAAGCACTTTGCATAACTTGAAATAGGAAATGATAAGATCATCATCATTAATTTATCCTTAAATCATTAAAATTCTTTCACATGATATTATAATTATGTTGACTAACACGTGAGAAAATTCACTTTCATTGAATTGAACCCAATCTAACCCAATATAGATGGACCAAGCAAAATCTAGTTTAAAGCATCCATAATGGGCGAGACTCAAAATTAATATCATGTTTTTCCTTTTACTTTGTTTTTGAAAAAGGTGCAAATTATGATGTGAATTGCTATTTTTTTCATTTTTATTTTATTTTTTTGAGTTGAAACACATTTAGAAATTCTAACATTCACCCGTGTTAGATATCCGTTCCGTTCCAATAAAAATCGAGACATAGTTTATTTATGCTCTTTATTATTATTTTTAGGGAGGGGTTATACTTACTACCTTTACTACCAAATTATCCACCGTTAGATGAATTTTGAATCTAATGGCTCATGTTTAACAGTTATAATCCTTATTTTTTCCTCACTCATCCCCCTTTCTCTCTCTCTCTCTAGGTCTCTGGAGACTGCACACACGCTCACCTATCTCTCCAACTTCCTCTCTTCGTCGTTCTTTCTCTTCCGGTTCCAATCATCGTTGCTTTTCTTTCTTTCTTTCTTTCTTTTTAAATTTCTCTTGTCACCACCATCATCCCTTGCGGAACCATTCTGACCTTCCCCTTCTTCATGAACGTGAACCCTAACGTCGTTGCTCTCCACGATTCGAAGTCTTTCTCGCACCTCTTTAATACTTCTACCTTTCAGGATGCTATCATCACAACCATTGACTCTCCAACGCTCCGTCACAACCATGCCGGCGAGCATCACGCCCCAGGTAAGTTTTGTTCCTGATATGTTGTTATGTCCTGTTTCTGCCTTTTAAATTTTGTCAAAGTCTTTAGTTGAAGGCTAGGGTCTTATGCTCATTGAATTTGTTGCTGATTGATGGGGTTTATGCTCCCAATTTCCCAATAGGGTTTACCTTGTCTAAATTATAGTTTAGAATCATTATAAAAACAAAATTTGCTAATATTTTAAATTTGTCTTTTTTTTATAAAATAATCAAATTATTATACATAAAAATACCCTAAAGCAGAAGAGAATAGAAAGCGCTGAGAAGAAATGGATAGGACTCTATGAACTTGATGAATATAAGGCACCTGCCCAGATCAAGGCTGGTTAAAGCTTATTGCTGATAATCAACCAAATAGTGTTTCTATCATGCTGTGGTTGTTGGCCCAAAATAGTTTGAGATCATGAAATATTTTGTGCACTGAAGAGTGGGTTGTATCATTAGCTTGTTCTGGTCATTAGTTTACTTACCCCCTAGTTGACCCATTAGTACCAAACGATTTGAAAGCAGTATTCCCTTTATGCTGTGTTTTTTTCTTTCTTTTTTGGGTTATATCCCATAGGTTTTGACTATGTAATAGTCACTTGTTATTTCAACGAAGATCAATATGGAAGATGATGAGGACTTTATTGTTATGCTTATTGAGATAAATCCTTTTTTTTTTGGGTTATATATGAATCAGATACCATTATCAAATCTGAAAATTCTGGCACTAGTAAACGTCATTTAGAGCAGATGATAGAAGTGTATTTTTCTTTTGGAATTTTTTTTTTTTTTCTTTCCCTCTCTCCCTTTGAAATTAATACATTTTCATTTACCATTCTTGTTTGTTTGTGTCTTCTCCCTCTTCTGAATAGCTGAAAGAATCAATATTGGAAGGCACTCAACAACATACTGATTACTTAAAAGAATGGAGTGAATAATTCCTCCAGAATATGGGTCATACAGGACATGTAAAGAAGGAAACTTTTGAACATATGGTCAATTTGGACTTCCCTTAAAAATGAGTTTAAAAATTCATGGATGCTCTATATGAAAAATCTATTTTTGAAATTACTTGATTAACTCTTTTGAAATTACAGAAACATCCTGATGCTGAGACTATAAAAAGCGGTGGTTAAGGAGCCATGCACAATATTTTCTGAGCCAGCAACTAATGGCAAGCATGAATATTTAGCTGCACTTGAGGGTGAACATGCATCTAGAACTCCTTGTCCAGAACTCTTGAGCACGCACCAAGAGGAATCCTCATCTGGATCCTTTGATTGATCTGATATACTGCTCTTGTTTTAATGTCGAACTTGAATAACCCCACTGGCCTCAACCACAATAAATTTCATTTTTTGTCAAATGAGTTACTCTCGACAAAATGTTGTGCTATGTATGACCATTAAGATTCAATGGAATTAAACTATATTTTTATTTAAGAAAGCATTATATCATTAGACAATAAGATCAATTTGCTAACAAAAAATTTCATAGTTTATTTACAATTTTAGTCTCTTATATTTCTAAATGCACGATTTTGACCTGATGTATGGATTTAAATTGTAATACTTTAGAAACTATAACTGTGACATTGAAGCAATTGAAACCAAGAGATCAAAATGGGGCAGCTTGCAAAATGTAAATAACTAGGTGTAATTTAACAAAAATGACGTAATTCTCAGTTTATTATGCCATTAGGCCTTAGCATACTAGAAAGTGATATATCATAAATGTGATCCAGAGACACACTACAACTCCATAACTTAAAATCTGTTCACTTATATGAGCCGTCATATCATGAATTTTAGTATACATCAAACTAATAAACACAAATTATTCTTATCAATGTAATATTGTGTAAAAATCTGAACAATAGAGCGCCCCCCAATATGATCAAAGCAAGCCCCATTAGAACATGGCTTGTAGCCTTCAAAGCTTTCCTTTCTTCAACTTGGATGTGCTCAGCAACATTGCAATTCCCTGCATGAATGCAATCCCCATTTATCAATAGAAGATAAAAATCTATAAAACATGCATTAATCTCCAATCACTATGTGCAATTAAAATTAAGCCATGTTACCTTTTTCAGGGTCATAACCACATCCAGCTTGAATTGTTTCTTTGATGTCCAGTATGGTTGCCCTATTGTAAAATATGAAGTTGCTGAATATGTTAGCAATGCAGCTGAGGACCAAATTTGTGTTTGACAGACACGATCTTTCACAGAATTCATCAGTTTTGTGTGCAGGCACGTTCAGGTTTGGCAAATACGACTTTCTCACACTCATATATCCAAAAATAAATAGAAGTTAAACAACAAAATCTAGAACTAAAATAGGAAACAGAAACGAAATATTCATCATTGGCTTTGGTTGGGAAACTAAAACAGGTAACAGAAACTAAAACACTCGTATGAAAATTTTGTATTTATCATGATTCTAAACTATAATTTAGACAAGGTAATTTTGTTCTGAAAGGTAGAAGAATCGAAGAGGTGCAAGAAAGACTTCGAATCGTGGAGAGCGATGACGTTAGGGTTCACGTTCATGAAGAAGGGGAAGGTCAGAATGGTTCCGCAAGGGATGATGGTGGTGACAAAAGAAATTTAAAAAGAAAGAAAGAAAGAAAGAAAAGCAACGATGATTGGAACCGGAAGAGAAAGAACGACGAAGAGAGGAAGTTGGAGAGATAGGTGAGCGTGTGTGCAGTTTCCAGAGACCTAGAGAGAGAAAAAGGGGGATGAGTGAGGAAAAAATAAGGATTATAACTGTTAAACATGAGCCATTAGATTCAAAATTCATCTAACGGTGGATAATTTGGTAGTAAAGGTAGTAAACTTAGGAGGTAGTAAGTATAACCCCTCCCTACAAATAATCTAAAAAGTTGTATACTTTTCAACACAAAAAATATCAAAATTAAATCTATATTTTAATTATGAATACAGATGAGATTTGGGCCTGAAGATCTAGAGAACTTGATGGGCTTCTCCTACGACTTCATATTCTAAACCGAACATGTTTTTAACATTCTCACACAAACACATGATCCTATGTTTATAATTGCTACTTCAACCAAAACCCTATTTTCAAAGCAGGTGACTTTTTTTTTCCTTCAAATTTTAGGGAATCCGCCTCTGTTACCACATCGGCGTAGCACAATTGATCTTCCAGAATATTCTTGATCATGCCTTCTATGATACACCATAACGCGTCTTGTCATTTCATTCGTCTTCATTTTAAAAAAACACCTCATTTTTTTTCTTCGTCTCTATTAGAAGAGATCCATTGAAGGAAAGTTCAAGAGAGAAAAAGAGCTGAAGAGAAAACATTTTATTATTAAACCTAAACAAATGAATCGTAATTACAGAGAGAGAAAAGAAGCTAACTCTGTAGAGTTAAGGCTAACTCAATTGATGAGTCAACAAGCTACCAACTACTAAATGGCTAAAAAGCTGTAACAACTTATGGCTAACAGCTGTAACAACTAATACAAGGAAATAATCAGCTATGACTAAAGAATTCTACTACATATAATCAGCAAGCTATGCACATACACTAATAGTCTCCAATGGCAACTAGAAGGATTGCAACCCTGACCAGATCCATTTTCTTCGCCGGAACTGCATCTAGGATCTCTACACCAATGTTCTCCTCGCAACCAACAATGTCGCCAAGTTCCTCTTCACTTGCAACTGCTCTACTGGACCCGATTTTCTGATATTCTTTCATGATTTTAGGTCTTAGAACTTGTTGTTTACTTATGTTTTATTTGTATTTAATCAGATAAGGCAGAATAAGTTCACGAAAATTGAAAAGGTTTTAACAAAGCAGATTACGTCAATAAAAGAGGAGGTTGATAGGTTGAAAAGGTTCTCTCTCAGCAGCAAGTTAAAACCTTTTATTGATGTAATATGCTTCGTTAAAACCTTTTCAATTTCGGTGACCTTTGTCTGCATTATCTAATTAAATACAAATAAAACATAAGTAAACAACAAATTGTGAAACCTAAAATCATGAAAGAATATTAGAAAATCGGAGATACCAGAGAAGTTCTAGTAGAGCGGTTGCGAGTGATGAGGAACTTGGCGACATTGCTGGTTGCGAGAGTGAAGCCAAAGAACATTGGTCCAGAGGTCCTAGACGCAGTTCCGGCAAAGAAAATGGATCTGGTCAGGGTTGCAATCTTTCTAGTTGCCATTGGAAGGCCTAAGACAGTAGGAGTTATAGACTACAGAATACAATATTACATGACAATATTGATTCTCTCACGAATAATCGGGACAAGCTGTGATAATACAACATACAAGGAGAAATTAATCAAAACCACAATGGAATCAATCTATGCAAGCACCATAATTGCATTCCATCAATCCCAAAAGCTGGCTTGTCTCTTCTAGATCATCTCCATCTACTAATCGTTCAAGGATCATTCAGCTGCCAAAGTAAAAAAACCAAGTTTGAAGTTGACACGAAATTTGATACAGGCTTGCCTAGGACTTAAGTTGTGACAAGTATGACGATAACAAGAATACTAGTTAGGGACAAGCACATCATACTCCACTAAAAATAAAAAGATAGGGGATGGAGCCAACTCCAGGTAATAGATTTCTAGTAAAAGGAGAAAATCAAATTGGAATCTCTCTCTCTCTCTCTCTCTCTCTTCAGTGACTGCTTTTTTATTTTCCTTTGCATTAAAATTGTTCTTTTTGCTCATCCCTTGGTTCTTCCAACAAACAATAATTACTCCGACCATTGATGCCATCAGTTTATCATTTCAGACACTTGTCCATATTTTGAGACTTGAGTAACTTCATACAACCAAATTAGAAAGTTTGGTATAATAAAATCTCAGAATAATGCTCTCCCCTCAGAACAAAATAGTGACTACAGTATCTTCCAAGCCAATAATAATTAGGACATATGACAACTGAAACCAGTCTTATCAACCCATTAATCTCGAGAGAATCCGTAATTACCAGTCTAAAGATGGTCAGCATTCGGTGATCCACTGTCCAACACATTGATTTGACCAGAGATTTTTGCCTTACAAGCTGGACACATGAATCCCACAGAATCTGATTGTATTTCAGAATTAACAGCATCATGGTAAAACTCTATTCCGCACCATACACAGACAGTTGTAAGCTGATTTCTGCCATCCATATTTAACATAACTTCTTGTGATTCAAACTGAACTGAGGATGAATACGTCCCTTCCATCACTGTGTTGTTTGCCAATTCAGTTGGCACATCAGGCAGAGAAAGAGAATCTTGAGCACTTGCAAAATCATAATCGAGATTACCTATTTCATCCAACCTCAATTCCCGGAACCCCTTCGCATTATCATGTCCATGGTCACCACTGCAAAATTGTTTTCCTCCCTGTCAATGAGCAATAACAACAATAATTTTTCAAGGTAAGATCAGCACTACCAACCAGTTGAGAGCTGGGTAGTATAGCTAATTGTCGCACAAGAGAATTTGGTTTTAACAATGTCAGATTCCAAGAATCCTAATTAGCTTTTAACAAGAGTTCAAATGAAGAAAGAACATAAAAAATAACAAATGCACTAGAGAAGAGTGTTTTAAGTAAACAAGCACATGTTCATAACCTAGCAATTAGCACTCCTCAAAAATCCAGGACACACTAAATTTAGGAGGAGCAGGAGACATGTGGAAGGGTGATGAAAGAGCAAGTAAGATATCATGAAAGCATTCTTAGCTTAGTGAGACGAAAAACCTATGATTTCTTAGTCTCCAACAAAAACAACCTGCCCAAATAAAGAAATTCTTTCTCTTTCTCTTTGCAAGCAATATAATAAAGAATAACAAAACTTACACGGAAAGCCAGCATTAGATTCGGGAACAATGCACTTGTTACTCAATCAACAAGGAATAAACAAAGGAAGTATGCTTCTATAGTTCTTGTATTCTTAAAAGACATGCATGCTGAATCAGCAGATGACTATGACTGTTGCAAAGAGTAGCAACATAGTAGGTTAAAGTGAAATAGTTATGGATGAAGAAAAACTATTCTCAACATTGCATAGAAGCATTAACAATTATGTGAAAACAACAATAAAGGATTAATTATGGAACAATAAGTGCTCAGACAACAAAACTGGTTCTTGAAACTGCATTGGTTTTTCAAAATTTAGCAATGTGCACCAAGTGCTTTGTGAATAATGAAAATTTACAGCAATGGTTCAATACAAAATAAAACCTGAATACATTTAGGGACACAAAAGAGGCAAGTACAGTAGCCCACATGCCATGCATGTATGTGCATGCACACAATCACTTCCTAAGAGAACCTTGATATAATTGGCGTAGGAATATTCCCCAAATTTTTCAACATATATGAAACCCTGACAACAAAGGCACCCATAGGTTATGCCTTATACCTTATCTGAGCTGAATGCTGCAAAACAATCCAAAGATTGCTCTGTGGATATAGAGGGGTTAGAAACCCTTGAATGGACCACATTTTCTTCAGAAGCTGACATTACTATCTCTTGGACATTAGAGCTAACAGGTACATCCCTGCAGCCATCTAAAACAGTTTTCAACTCACTCTTATTACAATTGTCTTCATGAAGTTCAAATTGCCTAGTATTAGTGTAACCCGATTTCTCATTCTTCTCAGATTCGGGCATTATGTGATTGCCAGATAAAGGAAATAAAGGGCTTTGAGAAACTACTTCCAAATTAATACCAGACTGATCAAACGCCTCAACAGTCAATGCCACATCATCTTTTCCCTTAGAAGTCTCAGATGCATTAACATTTTGCTCATTTACAGATAACAAAACCATGTTATCTAGACAAGTAACCATCCTGGCATCTATAATTCGGTTATCATCATAATTTTCCTCTACTTTTCCATCCACAAGTGAATATGGACTATCTTGCTCATTTAAATCTTGAACCACATCTGTGTCAGTCAAGCTATCCTCACTGACTGGAGACTCAAAGTTTATGTCTTGATCTAAGGCACCAACAGCAATTTCTAAAGCAGGAATCATATTCAGTTTAGCTGAACTATGGGGTTCCATGACAGAATCCTCCATAATAGAGTTTTGAGCAATTTCAATAAGGGCATCCATCTTAGAGATCCTTGAAGGCACGTCCTCCCTGACTGGAGACATGTCTGTCCTTTGGACATTTCCCTGACCTGGGGAATCGTCAACTCTCCTCACATAATTCCTAACATGGATCCCCACATGACCATTGTAGCGACGCCTCTCCAGGAACACCTTATGGCAGAACTGGCACTCAAACTTTCCATCCTTAATTATAACTCCATCTCCAACAGAAGAACCAAGCCGATACCTCCTCGTCGTCCTCTGGTGAAAAGACAACAGGTGCTGCAAGTATGAATCCTTCTCATCAAAGGTCATGCTGCATTTGTGACATTCAAACAGGTCATGTATCTGCACATCTGCAAGATTGTCAATCCCCAACAAGGCCACTTCCCTCACTCGTTCATTCGAAACAGATAAACCAGGCACATCCGAGTTAGTTGCAACAATCTGCCATTGATCTTGATCCTCATGGGTAACACCTGCAGACTGAGGCACATCCCATAAACCTCCGTAATAATACTAATAGCACATAAACACCGGCAATATGTATGCGTACTTACGTTTTCAGCAGTCAAACTATGTTCCTGAAGTATATTTTCACTCCCAGGAACAATTTGTAATTGAGCATCACTGTGACCGTAAAGAGACTGCAAATATGAAGAAACTTCTTTGCAAGTCACAAATTGCTGTCCACTAGGGCTGTAGAAATATCAAATAAGAGAACACATAAGCACCCAGAAAGGAGAAACAACAGTGAAAAGAGTAAAAAAAGAGAAGGAAAAGAGAACCTTATGTATCTGCGGCAATAGATCCATGCACGACCATCTTTTCTCTTCAAACCAAGAAGAAGCTTCCAACCAAGAGGCAACACATCACCGAAATCAGCAGCATCAACAATCCTCCTCTTCTTCCTCCTGCTACCCCATTGTCCCAACAAATCCCTCAAAAACCCTAACAGCTCCTCTTCACTCTGCAAACCCTCCGTCCGTCTCCTCAGCTCCTCCGCGAACGGGTCCTCGGAGTTCGCCAACGCGGAAACATCGATCGGAACGCCGTTCTTGTTCACAATCTCCATTCCTCTGTAACACTCCTCCAAATGCACCTTCACTTTGGGCTTCCTCCCTCTCTTCCTCTTCCTCTCCCCGCTACCAAATCTCACAAGATCCGGTTCAGCTCTCGGCTCAGGCTCGGGAACACAAGGTGGAGGTGGAGGTGGAGGTGGAGCTAGCTCCACCTGATCGAATTTGGGGTCTTCCCTGATCAATTGCTTCAGGTAATCGATTATCACGCGATTCTCGGCGTTTTGCGGGAAGGAAGGGAGAGGGAGAGGGAGAGGGAGCTTAGGGGTGGGAAGAAGGCCGGCGACGCGGCTGCGACGGCGGGGTCGAGAGTAGGTCTGACGGCGTGAACCAGCGCTCTCGTTGAAGAGGGAAGGGTCGATTTTGGGATTGACAAGGTCATGCGTAGAGCGTAGGTCAAAGGAAGAAAGAGAAGAGAGAGATAGTGCATGAAGCTCTGACTGTGACAGAGAGCTTGCATCTATGCACGCAAGTGACTCCAAACTCAACGCACCTTCTGCGTTCGCCATGTTTGGTTTCCAACGCTTCTTCTCCGTTTGCTACTAACAAAAACTCTCTACTAGATAATGATATCCCCCAAAGGCCAAATGTTAATTTTTTATTATAAAATATTTACTTCTCATTCATTACTTTGACTTCAGTCAATGCAAATTTTATTTTATTTTTCTCAAATATTCAATTTTATTCTTAGTAAAGTCTTTTTTTTTCTTCTATTTGACTACAGTCTTTGCAAATATATTTTATTAGTCATTTGAATATTTACATGAAAATATTATCAATATTTTTTAACTTATTATTTTATAATTATAAGTTAAGGCAAAAAAATAAAAAATAAAAACATAATTTTTTTCACACAACTCCGCTTACGCTTAATTATAAGTCAAATGAAACGCAAAACCAAGGCATTATAAAAAAAAGAATCTTATGTATACGAAAGAGGTTACAGTTACTATCTTTTTTTCTTACTACTTGTTACTATCAAATTAATAAGTATGATCCAATAAATTATGACCGCTAAATTAATGAAAATCAACAATTTGTGAAAATCAACGATTAAAATTTAATAGTAAGAAATAGTTAGTAATTATAATCTTTCTCTATGCTTATAAATAGGATAACTGGAAATTTTATATTTCTGCTCGTATTTTGAACTGCCACAGCACTTTGTAAGTTTTGTACTTTTGCAGGCAAAGCTTTCCATCCGTTGCTGCTACTATATGGTACTATTTGCTCTTAAACCAAATCTTATGTTTATTTTAAATAATCTTCACCACAACATTAAACTTTTACCATTCATTTAGAAGGTTAAAAAATATAACACCATTGTCCATTGTGGCTCCTCATATTCTATAATTAGAGGCGATGTTTAAGAGAAATATTACTTTGAACTAGCTTTTGGAGTGGTATATCTCAAGATTCTTTACATAGTATCAGAGTCTTATAAACCCTTATAAACTACATATTAGTCGTTCATACAACTAATGTGTGACTATATATCTCAACATTCTTCCATGTACATTCAACCATTCAAGCTAATAAACTCAAAAGGAACCCATAAAAAAAGTTTTGCCTTGCATCAGAAAGTTTGTTAACATTAACTTTGCACAAGATCCTGTTTGATATCATATAAAATTAGATGAAAGTCAAATGTAACTATGTAAGGTTTGAGGTAATATTACATCGCCATAACAATTAATCTCAGTTCAAGTTCCGCTTCTCACTAAATTACATATAATCAATAGAAGTAGCTAAATAGGCAGAGCTTTATTTTGTGCGAATATCCGAGGACTGTTTACAAGGGATAAAAATGTATCCACCTTTCAAACATCTCAAAGCATCGTTCATGGAAGTATTCTGTAGGAGAGTGACCCGATCCCTGTTCGAGAGATGACAAATTTAATTTCACTCCCATCCAAAGATGATTTGTTCACATAAGAGGTCACAATCAAACACATCATTTCTTACCTTGAGAGTTGCATAGGTCAAGCGGTATCCTGTATTAGAATGTACAACTCGGTACCTACATAAATCAAGCAATAGTTCACTCTGATTTTGGCTTACTGAGGATTTGTTCAACTTAAAAAAAATCCTTCTTTAGTCATGCATTTTAATGCATGACTATGTGTATACAATATTTGGCAGTATAAATAGATTGTTACAACCACTTATTTATTAATAAAAAAATTACAGAAAAACACACATACTTACCCTGCAACTTGACCATCAACGAACCAGGGCATCCAAGGAGCATCTATAGTAAGATTCAGGGATCTCAACCATTCTTCAGTTGATATATGAGGAATAACCATGTCAAGGTCGCCTCTACACAGCAGAAAAACTTAGTGAAGTCAAAATCACTTATGCTGAAACTAAAATTTAAACCCATTATTTATCTTAAACATATTGGCTAAACGGAAGTTAGCAGGTAGAAAAAGACAATTGGGTTACGTACGTGTAAAGTAATACTTGTAAACCTGTCTCAGTCAGATTCTTCTGGTAAGGAATTACATTTTCGATGTCAGCGAGGTATATGTCTTGGAGGGTTAGATTACATCTATACCATCGTTGAACCGTTCCCTGGTTTTCATGAGGAGGGAAAAAGTAGCCTGAATATAAGAGAAAACATATGTAGCATTAATCATGGACTATTAATGTGCGTATACCTCACGAACATAGAGAGCCTCCTGAACGGTCTTGTTGTTTGCCCATATGTCTGAAAGTATATAAACAAAAATCTGCAAAACAAGTTTAAATCTTCTAATAAGAAAATCATCCTAGTAATGTAACATATATTAAGGGCAACTATTTATCGGAACCTTGCACCACCAGTCCTGAGCTTTAAGTTTTAAAGATGGATGATGGAAATATCTGGCTTCTTTGAGAACTCTTCCAGAAAATTCATAATCTGGTTTTGGTGATATTAATGCACAATTAGGTTCCAGAACATTTTCTTCATAGATATCAGCAAGGCACTGCAATTATGAATATCCAAATACATATTATATATACAACATGTCAACTTGAATTTTCACCATATTAATAGCCCTTAGTACCTTAACTATTGGTTGAAGTGCTTCCACACATTTTGCATTTGAGGGATCTACCTCATAGTACCACCCATTGCAATTTTCTTTGGCTGCCTGTGAAAGAGAGTGCGACTGTGAACCATTAAATTTTCCTGTCAATAATAAACTTCACAGAAAGATACTGGATCTTTTCTTTTTGCCTGTAATAGGAAACTTAGTCACTTAAATTGTCACTTACAGTTTAGTCCCTGAATTTATTGATATATATATATATATATATATATGGGCTTAACATTTCTGCAGCAGCCGTAGATAGTGTTATTTACAGCTGACACAGAAAAGTGGGCCCCACGGCTTTTTTTAAAAAAAAAAAAAAAAAAAAAAACTCAGGATCCGTTGCCGTATCCTAGGATCCGGACGCGGATCCTTGCTTGCTGTAGGTACAGCAGCTGCAGAAATCATTTTTATATATATATATATATATATATATATATATATATATATATATATATATATATGAATTGGTCCTTGAATTTATAAAATTAATATCAAGTTTAAAGATTAATGTATGTGATATGACTTATGAGCACTAAAATTGTAAGAATCAACTCGTATACATAAATAAATTTTTGAGAGACTAAAATAGAGTGAGAAATGGACTAAGTTGCTTTTTCACTCTATTATTATACAAAGGTTCGTTTTTTCTACTGGAATAAGGTATCTGTAGTAAGTCTAATACGATGTTGTTTTGGGATGAAAATCATAGTGTTTTTGTAATTTTAATTTATTCCAGGGTTATTATAGTCTTTATAATTATAATTTTTTAATATTTTAATCTCAAAACGATGTCGTTTTGGAAGTAAATACAAATAACTTATCTGCAGAAGAAATATTTTTTTGTTATATAAAAGTTGTTAAAAACACAGCAAAATATACTCAAATACCTCATAAAGCTTGTCTGATATGAGTGCCTTATTGCGAGCATAGGGTATTTTTGAATTATGCTCTAGCGGTATACTAGTATGTGGAGAGCCACTCAGGAATCCCTGGAAAAGCGTTAAAAACAAAAAATTAAAAAGAATGCGATCTCTTAAAGCCCCAAATATGATGCATAGTGTATGTAGAAGTCCATGTTTCACTTACTATCAAGTTTATATACGGCTGAAGTTCAGCTGCATTACCTGCATTTACTATAACTATAAGTCTTCTAAATTGTAAGTCATTGGCTTAATATGGTAGTAATGAATTTTCAAGCCATTAATCGGGAAGAAAGACTAGGATGGCAATATAGCTGAACATTATGTATGATTACATTTTTTTGTTCATGAGTTCCGATGATTAAAATATAATTAAGAAGAAATTTTTCGCAGATTGAATATATTATAGTAAAGGAAACCTATTATTTGACTTGACTTATTGACAATATTTATGATTATTTTGTGTTTGTAAGTTTGTAACCAAATGAACTAACCTTCATTGGCATAATGTTTGCAGTTAGGAGAAGAAAAGCACGATCACTCAAACTTACCATCCAATATATGCTGTGAAATGATTGGCGCAAAGATTCCACTGTATGAATCCGTTGCAATATAGAGCCTATTCGAGATGTATTCAGGGTGATCAATCAGCCACTGCAATTAAATTGAACTTACATGCACATTAGTCATTTTTTTATTTAAGAAAATATGACACAAGTAAGAATTTCCTAGACTATAGATTTTACCTTTCTTAAGAATTTGTAAGTTTGCCTAGCTGATTTACTGTCTGAGATGAGGTAACCTTCTGGGGTTGTAGCATACGAGAAGCCAGTACCGACAGGAACATCAGGAAATATGATGCTAGCAGTCTAGAAAAATTTAGCATAACTGTCAACCAATTATAGTTACAAGTTCATAAGATAATTACGATGGAAGAAAATGAAGTAATGTGAGATTTTTCACCTTTGTCCAGGGGTATGGCCTTAATATTAATTGTGGGAAACCCCCAGAATACTCTGTCCCATTGAAAGCCAATGGACCTTAAAGAGGAGAAACAAACCAGATTAATAATTGAGATGATTGAAGGATTTCTTGTTTCTCCTGAGTGAGGTACTTGATTTTAAGAACTTATTGACACCAAGATTGAAGATTAAACAACCATTAATATATAACACATCAGTTTACTAAAGTGACTATCAAGCCAAGCCCTTCAGGCATCATAAACCTTAATGGGGTATGATTACATCCTGTTATGTAACCCACATCAATTAACCAATGAAAAAAACAACAAAGATTCAGATAATCACACATGACATTAGCTTCCAGTTTCCACACTTTATTTTACTATATTAAATATGGGATTAGTAATGTTTCTCATATTATATAAGATAATTTTATTTTTTACAGACACAATAACAAGGTTCATGTTTTCTTTTTTTCTCTTTTTTTTGTTCACATTAGTCCATAAATGGTCAATATTAGTCACAGCAAAATCATCAAGAATTTCATTTAACTCAACCAACGCAATCCAGAAATCACTTTCTTTCTTTTTTTCTCTCAAGAAATCATGTAATTTAACGCCATCATTGAAAGGAGAAGCGCATTAAAACATACCAGTTTGGTAGAATAGTCCATTTAAACCAGAACATCCAGGACCTCCAACCAAGTAAAGAAGAAGAGGATCAATCCGTGGCTTTCCTGTTGACTCAACAAAATAGTAGAACAGCTCCGATTCCTCCACCAATACATATCTTTTATCATAAGAAATCATATAATTTAGCATATCTTTTACGTTAGGGTATGCTACAAAATATGTGACTTGTCAATGAATATAGTTTTTTAATAGAAAAAAAAAAAAAAAAGGAGTAGCATTAGACATGAATGGAAAAGTAATGACATTTGGTCATGTACTAGAGTTACAACATACCCTGTCTCGAGCTTGAAAGGCAAGGGACCCTGAAAGCCAGGTAAGGTCTTGACAATGTTGGCAGAGTGTGCATTATTAAACACTAACAGTAACAGTAGCAATAGCAACTGAAATTGAAAGCAAGAGAAAGCCCAACACATTAACTTGTTCATGGAACTCACCAGTACCCTCATTCTTTTGTATTAATTTTTATTTGATTTTTCAGCTACAACCACCCAAGTGATTCAAATTAAGGCTAATAAATTTTATTTTATATGACATAATGAATTGGGGACCAGGAAGGTAGCTTGAACCGTAGGTAATCCCTCCATTTCTTTCCAGTAAAGTTCGGTAGCTTGAAGGTTTATATCTCCCGTTCAATTAATTAGTGTCGGATAAAAACAATTAGTCCGTTGAAACATTTGAAATAAAGATCATTAGGTTAGGCTACTAGCAACGTAGTGTAAAAAGTGTTGTTCATATCTCCACATCAGGTTTTAGGGAAAGGCTGAATCAATCTATTTCTTCATTTATTTATTTATTTTGTGAAATTACGAGATGTACTGACGGGTTTGACTCATTTAAACTGTTTATAGGGTTTGTCCCCGTTCAGCTTCGGAAGCACTAGGGTTATGTTATGATGCCTTTCAATGAAAAGCTCCTTCTGTGAATCAATTTATTCTTATATTTCAATTTTGTCATTACTTTGTTTTTGTATATTAAGCTAATTTATTCTGCCCTTGTAGGCGCGCGTAAATGGTAGACCAGAAAATTTTGTTTATGTCTGCATACTTAATGATGAAGTTTCGGACAACGTCTCCAAAAAAAAAAAATTAAAGAAAGTTCTAAAATCGAACCAACCGTAAGTATAATGCTTGACCCAAACCGATTCGATAACCGATTCACCGGATTTCGAGTCGACCGGGCTAAGTCGGGCTGAATTTTACAATAATGAATTTAAAAAAAAAAAATAAAGAAAGTTTATGTCTTTTGCATTTGTGGACAATTGCGCCTATGGGTCCGTCGTTGGACACCCAAGGGCAAGGGCCTATGTCATTTGTTATCTTCTTTTAAAAAAAAAAATTAAGAATAAAACGTTGCTCGAATCTGAATTGGTCGAACATGTTAATAATTGAATACCGAATTATTTATAAAAGGAAAAAATATTACTTTTTTTAATTTTGTGCAAAAATGATAAAAGTGCAATAAAGAAGGTTGAAAAAAATTCTTATACTTCGGAACACTGATATTTAGTCCATCAAGTTTATAAAAATAAATACATCAATCAAGAAAGGGTTTTATAAGAGTTATGTTGTAGGAAAAGTGATTGTGTAATGTTATAGAGATTCGTTTTGCGTACCGTAATTTCTTTTTTTTTTCTTCAACATGTGTGGACCCCACAAAATATTGTGTATGTTGAAAAATTTGTTGTGTCATATTAAATGACAAATGCAAACCTCATCAAAAAAATAGTGTTATTTTGTACAATGTATTTTTTTATTTTTTTTTGTATAAATTGTACAATGTATTTCAAATGGTGTCAAAATCTTCTCTGGGTGGTTTATGGTATTTAACTTCCTATTTTGTGAGTCCGCAGCGTGAAGCCCAGAAGAGAGGGGAAATGTGTTGGGATTGTGGGATGGCCTGCCCAATTAGCTCGCCAAATGAGGGCCCTGATGGGTCAGGATGGGTAATGGGCTCTCTTCAGCATCAATGTTTTAATCCATTCATTATCCGTATGTTTTACAAGCATTTCTTTTATAGTTTTTTCTTTAACAATCTAATTTAAAAATTAAGAGTTTGTTTTGTAAACATTATCAACTATTGACTCCCTTGCGCGTCATATTATGAGAAGTTTTAATAACATGATTTTTAACATTATATTTTAATAAATATTTTACTATTGGGTAAATTTCATTTAGGTGTCACTAAATAGAAAGTGAATGTTACGAGTCCCACATTGGTTGTATAGGAAACTGACGTGGGGTTTATAAAGTCTTAGACACTCCTACCCTTTAAGTTAGTTTTTGAGGTGGTGTAACATTCTCTACAACTGATTAAGATAGAGGATATCACATTAATTCTTAAATCTTATTTTAAATAAGAGAACGAGAATTATAATGAAATTCTAACACAACGGACAAAATACCCTTAAAATATAATTATACAGAAATCAAGTTCACCATTACATCAGAAATACATGATTTTGTATGGGAGCTCACAAGCCATGATAAGTAAAAGATTACATATTACATTAGTATTCATTTAGTACTAAAAAAATTCTTTAATTTCTATACGTCTGAATAGGACAGACGTATGATCATTACGCTTCAACCGAGTTATTCTATTCCACCTCTTAGAAAGAAAAGAACTTAAATAAAAATACTTAATAGCATGGATACATTTATACAAAACTTCTACCCCGAGCACACGCAATGGAACCGTAGACAGTCAAGTGAAGTCCAATCCACGAAATCATTTGATCTATGGACAACATCGTTGTGGTAAAGGCTGTAATGCCAGAGGAATCATTACCGCAGGACATAGAGGGGGAGGTCATAAGCGTCTATACCGTAAAATTGATTTTCGACGGAATGAAAAAGACATATATGATAGAATCATAACCATAGAATACGACCTTAATCGAAATGCATACATTTGTCTCATACACTATGGGATGGTGAGAAAAGATATATTTTACACCCCAGAGGGGCTATCATTGGAGATACCATTGTTTCTGGTACAGAAGTTCCTATAAAAATGGGAAATGCCCTACCTTTGAGTGCGTAACGATGTCTTCACAACTTTTAAAGAAATAACTTTAAAATACCAACTTTAAACACAACATTGATAACAATAGAAAATATCTAAAATTTAACTTTAAAAGTGTTATGGAACTGAGTGAGATCCATACGCTAGGAAGGCCCAGACGACCTAAAGCCCAGAGATAAGTCCTATAAATATGAGCTAAAGACCACAGGTATCTCTTTTAACCCTATTTTATGTAATCACAAAGCACACACACATACCCCTTTGGCTAAAGCCGTTATATCGAGTGTCGTGATATGCTGCCTCCAAGATACCTAATTCATAGGTACCTAGAGAGAAAGCACTAGATCTAACATCAATCATCTAACCTCCGGTTAGACATCTCTGCCTAGGGCAGAATAAAAAGTAAATAAGAGAATGAGTTGTTTACTCTCAATATTACCTTCCCTTTTCTTTTTCTCCTTTCTTTCTCTTCCTCTTCCTCTCTCTTTCTCTCTCTCTCTCTTTCTTTGTCTGTCTTTCTCTCTCTCTTTCCTTCTTTCTTTCTCTCTTTTCTTCTCAAGTTTCTTTAGGTTTATAAAGAATTTCAAAAAGAAATGTAATCATCACTATTTATAAAAATCTAAGAAATCTAATCATTACTTTTATAAACATCTAAAGAATCTTAATCATTACGTTTATAAAATTTTAAGGAATCTAATCATTACTTTTATAAATATCTAAGATATTTTATTCTAATTATCCAATATATTTTATCTAAAAGATTTTATATTTTATTTATTATTATTATTATTATATATTTTTTAAAATATTACAGATGGTGATCTCAAGGTTTGTAACCATTGTTGTCAAAAACTAGTGTAAAAACTTACGTTTTTACTAGAGTGGTGCGTGTTAAAACGCAAGAAAAAACGGTCAGTGGTAAAAACTGGTAAAAACGTCACATAAAAACGTAAAAATAGTAAAAACTTATGTTTTTACCGTTTTTACCATTTTTACTTAAAACGAAAATCTTTTTTTAAAAAAAAGATTTACAAAAAAGGAATTAAAAAAAAAACCCAATTTTCGTTTTTCCCAAATCATATGCACAATATCTTGATATCTTTTTGTTTGGATATATGTCTTTTATAATTATATCTTATAAAGCTGCAATTAGGGGTGCTAAACGAGCCAGGGACCTTACAGGGGCCTTTGGCTCGGCTCATGAAGGCCTGAGCTTATATGTCTAAAATTGATTGTTGGACTCAGCCTTGGACTTGTATAAAAGCTCGTTTAATAAAAAGGTCTCAGGCTCCAATTTAAAAGCTCGGCCTTAGAGCCTCTCAGGCTTGCCTAATATATTAATTTTTAATTTTTTATATTTTTTATACTACTTGTGTTAGTCCTCTCTCTCCTCAATCCATTTCATCCTATTTTATTAATTAAACATACTTTTTGAATGATTTTATTTTATATTATGCTATTTGGATATACATTAAATTTATGAATATTTATGGAATTACTAGTGTTGTTGATTGTATACTTTGTTTGAATAAATTTTTGTTGTCTTATTTTTTTTTAACCAGGCTTTTATTTTTTGTAAATAAGACAGGCCACAGGCTGAAATTATATTCATGACAGGTAACAGGCTTGGCCAGACTGACACATTTAAATACAGGCTTAGCCTTTTAAGACCAAAGTTCAGCTCGGCTCGGCCCGTTAACACCCCTAGCTGCAATTCTATTAAAAGTTATGCTATGAGAATCGTTTTGTGTTTTTGAATCATTGTGTGCGTTGAAAGAAGTGAAATTATATCCTGATGAGCGAAGATCCAAAATAGTGTATGAAGCAGTTAGATCATATTGGTTATTCATTACTTGTTAGTTATCACTATTTATAATTTTTGTTGAGATATTCAAGTGTGATGAGTCCCACATTGGTTGGTAATGAGCTAAGTGAAGAGTATATAAGTGAAAGGACCCATGAACTCAATGCCTTAAGGTTTTGGGTTGAGACATGGTGTCGGATCCACTTGCTACGGTTGGTGTAGCCTTAGCTCATTGGTGGTGGCCCCCGCCACGGGCTCTCCCCTGGACCCGCTTGACATTGGAGTTTGAGGGAACGAATTTCCCAACAGTGGTATCAGAGCCGGATTGGCTCGAGCTAGCCTAGTGATTGACTAGGAGGTGGGTCGAGTACTTTGCGCTTCGGGTACTTGGTTGAGGGGGAGCATACCAATGGTGGGTTTCACACTTGAGGGGGAGATTGTTGAGATATTCAAGTGTGTTGAGTCCCACATTGGTTGGTAATGAGCTAAGTGAAGAGTATATAAGTGAAAGGACCCATGAACCCAATGCCTTAAGGTTTTGGGTTGAGACATGGTGTCGGATCCACTTGCTACGGTTGGTGTAGCCTTAGCTCATTGGTGGTGGCCCCTGCCACGG